CATATATTAATTTTTTTCGATAGGTGGTTTTTGTTTTATTGATTTTTGAAAATCAAAAAATTCCGATAAATTTGGGTCTTGCAAGTACTTACAAAAATAGCGATATCTCGTAAACTATTAAAAGTAGAAAGGTGAGTGATGGCTTATTTTAAAGGCCTATTAGAGACCTTTTTTATGATATATCACCTGACCTAAATTTTTTCAAAAAAAAATTAAATTTTGAAAATTTGATATGGACTGACCCAAACTTTACAAATTATCTCTAAAACAAATCATTTTATCAAAATTTTATAGGAGACAAAAAATTTTCAACAATAAATGATTACCTGAAAAAATACCGTTTGAAAGTCATTGGCGCACGTACTAAAAAATAGGGGGAGTCAGTGAGTACTGGACCCCCCTATTTTGATTATTTGACAATTGTTTTTTGTTTTGTTGGTCTCAAAAAATGTAACTATTTATGTTGAAGTAGTGTGCCGAATTTAAACTTAATATCTTATTAATTACTCGAATTATTTTAAAAAATCAGTTTTAAATTTCAAACTTTGTCGCCCTGTATATCGAACATGAAGCTCTAAATTGAAAAATGGTATTATGAAAGTCGTATTGTTTTAACTCAAGGAATATATGGTTAACGGATTGACCTCCTTTTCCCGGACACCCCTGTATAGTGATTGATCGTTATAATTCACTATAACATAATCGTTTACAAATAACTTTTCTTAAGTCATGTTTGTAAATGTTTTTTTCCCATTTTTCACTATTTTCAATAATGTTCATTTTAAAACATTCTTTCTGAAAAAAAATAGGTTGAACCAGTTATCGACATTTTTGGTACCAAATATCGACATATAAATTACATCCACTCCACAGACTTTGATTCACTCTAACGATGTTACCAATGGAAAAAATGGGTGTCGATAATTGGTACAGCGGTAGTTTAATATAATTTCCTTTAAACTCTTCAGACAGAGTAAGAATAAGTTTGATAGACATTTAAATATTCATAAGAAAAGAGAAAGCTACATAGTACCATTTATCGACACCTATGTCGATAAATCGTACAAAGCCTAAAAATGGATGTACCTTTTATCGACACCACATAATTTTACGTTTATACTGATTCTATGCCAAATTATTGGCAAAAACCATACATTATAGATTCTGTATATAAATATACAACTATCTACATAAAGAAACTTAAATATTTTAAACTAAAATTGCCATAATTAACTTACCTGTTTCTTAACACTTTTCTTAAGGATTTGCACAAGTTCACAGATGACTGCGGAATGGCGGGATTAAAATATTTTTTCAATTAATATTTTCTGCATAACCGACCGAAACTTTTTAGGAAAGGTAGGGAAAACCTACTTGTTTCTTATTTTAATATGACAATAGATGTCCAAAGCATCAAATTCTTATTTTTGAATGTTTAGTGCACAAATGTCGATGATTGGGACAGTGTCGATAATTGGGACGTTTACCTTAGGTTTTGTCTAGCTAGATAATCAATTTAACACACTGTGCAATGTGTGGATTGTGCGAATTTCGACAACTCAACTTGACAACTGCATAATGTAACCTACAATAATTTATATAGATTTTTTTTAATCAATGCGACCAACTGTATTTACCAACCCTAAATTTGCAACGTTGCCGCAGTCCAGATAAAAAAATGTACTTTAGCTTCCTTAACAATTATTTTTTGTTATTAAGCAATATAATTCTATAGGACATATAAAAGCTGACGTATACATTCACACAAATTTCACAAAAAATAGGAAAATACAGGTCCATGATCTCCAGTAGACATGCTTATTTATCAAACATCTCAAGTATTGTAACGTAAGCTTTTTTAATTTAGTAATGGTAGAAATGGTATCTTGTATCGCTCGGCATACAAATTACCTCACAATTTTCTTTTTGGGCTTGCACTTCCGTTCAGGAAGTAGCCATAATTGGAGATATTTAAAATCAACATTTTTACTGTAAAATTATCAAAACATCGATTTACATTTCAAGTTAACCCTTAGGATTTTTAAAAACCGGTTCCCATCGAATGTCACCCCACTTTTGTGCTGTGTTGTCGAGGTCACTGCCCTTTTGTCGATCACTTAAATAATTTCAAGGGCTTGGGTAAAAATAATTTTGCATTTTTTAGATATGGGCACCTTATCATGTAAATTTGGCGATAATTTGTGTCTAGTTTTTACCTGCTTTAAATTATTCAATTATAGGTATATTACATAGAAAGCTACCTATTTATTTTAATGATGTGTACCATTATCATTATCGCTTAGCTACCAGTTATTAAAAAAATATTAAAATTAAGTATACCGTTCAAGACAAAATATTTAACATTGCAGACGAATTAATACCTAAGTCTAAAATAGGAAATGCATTTGTTTTTATTTTTCAATTGATTTAGGTCAATACAACAACGATATCAGTATTAATTAAATAATAATGATTGAACCAGTTATGAAATATTTATTTAGAGCATTGTTATCAGACATATATTGCCATTGTAAACAGAATTTAATGACTCGTCTTTTATTAACTACCTAAAAATGCTTATTGTTGTAAAACGCGAATTATACGGGGTTTTGAGAAACAGGTAAGATAAAAATACAATCAAAACTATTAAGGTTTTTATAAATATGTAGATAACTTTTTCTCATATTTTTATTTATAGAATATTCTTCAGAAGTTTTGTATCACATTGTATGTACCTTCGACGAGGTAAATTAACTATTTCTAAATATGGTTTTTAAAAATAGAACGTCAGGAACACCCCACGTTGTAAGGATAAATAGCTATACGATGAGACGGAAAAACATATTTATTTATAAAGTATTTTACTCATTTCTCCACGTGCGGTCAATTGCAATTATATTTTGCAATATTCTTATTCCTAGTAAAACCAAATTTTACATTACACCATAAAATTTTTTTAACGTACAATGCGTCAAAAATAAATTATTATAAAAAGTTAATGATACAAATTTATTATTTAATATATGTAATCGTATTTAAATTTGTAGTTGCTAATTTTTAACAACTATTAAGATGTCAAGAACCAAAAGAAAATATTAATAATTAATTAATTAATAATTAATGATAATAATAAATTGTTTCTCTATAGAGGGAGTATACTCCCACCTTTAAAACGCACTTTAAACCACCTTTAAAACGCCCTTTATCGTACATGTTTCCATGACACTAAGTGACCTTTTAAATACACATTGACAAGTTGTGGATTTACGGCGTTTTAGTCACGGGCTGAAGTTAGCAACATGTTTCAGTCACGGACTGAAGTTAGTTGACATTTGTCAAATGTCATACAATCTTTAAAATAAAGTACCTTTCTTGTAAAATAATATCTACTAAATGTAAACATTATTTTATTATCTCAATACAAAAATACAAAAGTATTAAATAGTTTGTCAACGCCAATATTTGAAAAGTTTATATGAACATTGTACTGACCTTTTAATTTCGCCGGCAGTAAACTATAACTTAAATTCGGGCACGGACTCCACTGTTAAGTGCTCATAAAACATTTTCTTTATTTTCACTGTGAAAAATTGTCAACTTTCAAGAAATACATTTCGATTTATAACCTTAAGGTTAAATAAATTTATAATCTGTGTTTATAAAATGTAAAAATTTGACATTTGTCGGTGACACACAGATTCCCCTATTGTTTCATAGATGGCGCTCTATACAAATTTTTGATTTAAATCATTTTAAGATAATAATAAGTATTTGTCGTAGAAAAAGTATAGTATGCACCTCGTTTATAAACTTTTCTATACACTTATTAACTAAATTAAATTCGTGTATAAAATGGCGTTTATCAAACTTGATAGATAATATACTATTAACGTATATTGCGTCAAAAATAAATTATTATAAAAAATTAATGATACAAATTTATTATAGGTAATCGTATTTAAATTTGTAGTTGCTAATTTTTAACAACTATTAAGATGTCAACAACCAAAAAGAAATATTAATAGGAAATTAATGATAATATTAAATTGTTTTTATGTTTCCATGACACTAAGTGACCTTTTAAATACACATTGACAATTAGTTAACGTTAAAGTAATTACTTTATGGCGTTTTTGTCAATGGCTGAAGTAAACTCTGTTACAAAATTTTTAAAAAGTAAGGTTAAATTCGTCTGACAGTAGTTAGATGTCAAATATTTTAGAAATTAAATTTCCTTTACTTAAATTTATCTTACTTTACTGAATACCTGTTGACAAAAGGTGTTACGGAAAAATAAAGTTTTTTATATTTTTTGTGATACGCCACTGGTTACACACTTGTGTTCTGTGAGTACATAGATACCAACCTACAAAGTAGCTGCGCGTTAACAGTTTTAAAAAATTGTTTCTAAAAATTTTTCTTGCAAAAAAATAATATAAAACTCAATAAATACAAAAGTGTTATGCCCTTACCCGTCTGTATTTATTTACTCATCCAGCAATGATTAGAAAATTTAGTACCTATTTTAAAAACTCCATAACGACAAAATTAATTTTTTCATCTGTTTACTCAGGTGAAATTAGGACAAGTTCACAGGTTAAACTTTAAACATTCAATTTAGGTAAATAAATTCAAAAACAATTCCCTTAGTTAAGATATTTACAATTTGAGCACATAACCTAAAATTTGAAAGAAATACACTTACAAAAATGACATAATAAACAATTAAACACCAAATTAACAATTTGCATTGTTGATTTTGTCATTTTTGTGATGAAGGTAAATTTAAACAAAATTTGGAAACTTTTTTGACAGAATCTGGAAACGCTGGTTGTTACCAACCATAACATAATAAATTAAATTGGGCAACCAGATTAGCCTTAAGTTCCTAGTCGATCAGTGGCGTAGTTTTTAGTAGGATACAGGTTATTATAACTTATTTTTAGTCTTTAGAATTTAGAAAAAAAAGTTAAAGTAATATTTATTTATCTTTATTTTAGAATGAAAAAACCCCCGTGAAAACTGTGCAAGCAAGTCCGTACTCCCTGTCGCCCCTAAGCGTCAGCAGTCAAAGATTGCTGCGATCCCCTCACAAAGCGACCAGGAAAATATCCAGGATACCTTTTAAAGTGCTGGACGCTCCCGAATTACAAGACGATTTCTACCTCAACCTGGTGGACTGGTCGGTGCAAAATGTTCTCAGCGTCGGTCTAGGCAGCTGCGTCTACCTCTGGTCTGCGTGCACAAGTCAGGTAAGTGTCGTTTTTGTAAAACATTGCATCGCATTAGATTATTATTATCTAAGGTTGCCATTCTTAAAACACTTGTAGTAAATTTAAAAGGAAACGATGTACACGTCATCGATGACGTCATAATTTTGCGCACTGGTACCAATACTAAATGTACAAAACGAAGAATATTTTAATGCATTTTAAACAACTTTAGTTCGCAGCAATTGCAATGTTGTCATGTTTGGATTAAAATTTTGCTTAATAAAATGACGCATGGAAAAAGAAATTGACGTTTTAGAATTTCGAAGCTGTCAGTTGTGTTTTTGAATATTTCGTTTAATTCGTGTATAATTTCGTTTATTTTGTTAATTGTTTGTGTTATTTTATATCGTTTAAGTTTTCATTGCCGTTTTTGTGGTTAAACCACATAGTTATTGCAATGGACACTTAAGGAATATTATTTATTTAAAATTTATATATGCAGTTGTTTTAAAGATTTTCGTTTTTTTCTTTTAAATATATGAAAAGGATAGTTTGTTTGTTTAATAATAGTTTTATAAAAAATGCAAAAAAGTATAGTAATTCGACATTTTATATAGATAGTAATTGGACACATGGACCATAGTTATTGGACATACAATTTTTATATAACAACTTTACATCAAATAACATAAATTGTTAAATATTTTTTAAAGATAAATTGCTGTTTTAGGTAATTTTTTTTATTTCGGTTTTTTTTCATATATTTCTTTCTCGGATTCCTCATCCCTTTTCTAGATTCTGAAGGTAACCGCTAATTCCTTGGTCTGACTTCTATAATAGTTTGTTGCAAGTATCTTTAGTTTGTGAAGCATTTATAATGTGAAGGCCGGAACAGGATGATTTATATATATATCTAATATTTTTTCAGGTAGTAGGTTAAAAGTATTTTCCGAATTTATTAATTTTGTTGCCATTATTTTTTTATGTTCTCTATCATGCACCGTATTTAAATCACTGTTATTCTGCAAGATGTCCTGTGACGAAGAAATCACTAAATTACTTACTTTCTAAAAATGAATTAGTCAAAAATGTCATAGCGAAAAAGCAGCCACTAATAATTCTAGTCAACAACAATTTGTATCCAGGACATTTAGCAGTCAATTCCTATGAAATATTATTTGCTGAATCCGAAAATGTCGTCAAAAGTTATGAAAGTAGGACAGTTTTTGAAATATAATCAATTTTACATATAATATGGAATTGACTATATCTTAAAACTGCTTAACTTTTATAGTTTTTGGCGGTCTTTTCGGATTCAGGGGACAATTTTACATAAGAATTGGCTGGTAAATACAAATAGAGTTTGATATTGGACATATGGTCCAATAATAGAAACTTACATTTTTTACCAACCAGTAATGGATACCATTTTACTGTTTGTTTTTAGAATTAAAATTAAAACGCATTAAAGTGGCAATGTTTAAACCATGAGGAACACATTTATACCACACACTGATCTGTACACTTTTTAGAAATATTTTTTATTGTAATTTAAACACAACCCTGCTTTTAACAAAAAAAACAAAAATCTTACCACCAAAGTAACGTGCGAACGTTTTTGTCCTATATTGGACCCAAAATAAAGTAGTTCTATATTATTACCGACTGAGATAGTTATAATTGTATACAACGTCATCTAATGATTTGACTTTAAGGTAACTATTTATAGAACTCTTGTTTTTACAGTATCAAAGTTAATTGTCCAATGACTATAAAGTGATGAATGAATTTGGCCGCGACTATATCTTATTTCGCATTTTTCGAAACAAGCAAAACAATTTTTTTTTTAATTTATTTAATAAACCCAAAAAGAATACATGATTCCATAGCAGGTACAATAGTAGAAAAATAAAAATATTCAACAAATTTTACATAAAAACACTAAAATATAAAATAAATAAAGTATATAATATAAATATGTGGAAGTAGGTACAGGCAGTTATCACAGTTTTCTTAAAGATAAATAATAGTTTTTGACCGATGTCGAAATTGTTTTTATTGTTCTTTGGTTTTTTGTTGTCTCAGGAAGTTCATTGTACTATTTTATAGCAGATTGTGTTATTCTCCTTTCTCCAAACTTAGTATTATTTGAAGCAATGTGATAATGCTGGCTGGTCCTTGTGTTATGTTTATGTTTATCACAGTTTTTAGTTAGGTTTACAGTAAAGATATGTAGAGCTCGTTAGGAACGGTTTGTTAAATAAGAGCTTGAGAAGTCTATTTTGTGTCACTTGCAAGCTCTTGTGGAACTCCATAGTGAATTTTTTCCATTTACTATGGAGTTCCACAAGGGTCAGTGCTAGGGCCACTACTTTTCCTAGTTTACATCAATGACATAACTGAATGTGATGTTAAAGGTGAAACAGTTTTATTTGCGGATGATACCGGACGTTTCTATTGAATTGATCGTTTCAGGTGACCCGTTTGTGCGACCTGAGCAGCGACGGCAACGTGGTGACGTCGGTGGCGTGGAGCGAGCGTGGACATCTGGTGGCCGTGGGCACGCACAACGGCTACGTGACCGTGTGGGACGTGGCCGTCAACAAGCAGGTGAACAAGTTGCAGGGGCACACGGCCCGCGTGGGGGCGCTGGCGTGGAACGGCGACGTGCTCAGCTCGGGGAGCAGGGACAGGCTCATTCTGCAGCGGGACACGAGGACGCCGCGTAAGTTAACCTCACTTAGTCGATAGTTCGAGAAAATGAGATTTTTTTTATTTAAGCCCTTGTTTTTTTTTTAATTAAATAGTATTTATGTCATTAGGTTAAGAAGTAAGGCTTTTTGTGCTAAGCTCAAGGTTTGAGCGAAGCACAAAAAGGCACTTCTTGGCCGAATGGCATACAACATTTTATCTTCAAAGCACTTTATATAGGTCAATTTAATTCAACATCAAAGCGGCCTAACCTCACTTTTTTAGAATCTCATTTAATTATTAGCTAAAGATTACATTAAATGTACAATAATTATTATTGCTTTTAGAAGCAGAAATAGTTTGACAATACCTGATTTAAGTAGAAATGAATTTTTGCTATTACATTGAATTCAATTAATTGTTTAATAAATAGTATCTAATTTCAATTTGTTTGGATTTTTATTTAAAAAATAGGTAGTTTGGAATGTTTAAGCTGTGTTTAACATTTAATTTCACTGAAAACTTAAAGATAATTTAAATCGTAAAAAAAGAATCGTCCGTTTTCTTGGTTGCCTAACCTCACTTTTTGTTTTATTATTCATATTTAATTTTACAATAATTTAATGAAAAATATTAAACATTAACAGTAAAACAAACAAATTAATTCTTATTATAAATAAATTAAACCAGTTTAGTACGTTAATTTCTTAGAAAAGGATTAATTTGTCAAAACAATACCCCTAGCGAGAAAAAATCAAACTAATTACTTGCCTCATAAAATTTTTTATCGGCCTAGGCCATAACAAGGTATTTCTTTATCGAATGTTGACAACAATAAAGTTTAAATTATAGACCGTGTGGAAATAAAAACAGTTATTTACATTTTTAGAGAAAAGTCGTGTGGTCACGACGTTTATGCGAGTTATATTTTCATGGCCACAGTGGTTGTGACAATATAACTTGCATAAAAAGCATTTCCCGGATATGCTAAAAGTATAATTTTATGAATGTACAGGGTGTTATGTAATTAATGTAATATATTAAAATGGGTAGTTTCTTAGGGTCCATAAGGAAGCACCTGAAACTTTTTTATCCTAAGGCTAATCTGGTTGCCTTATTTAATTTATTATATAAACAACCAGCGTTTCCACATTCTGTCAAAAAAGTTGCCAGATTTTGTTTAAATTTAGCTTAATTACCAAAAAGACAAAATCAACAATGCAAATTGTTAATTTGGCGTTTTTATTAATTGTCGATTATGTCATGTTTGTAATGAAGGTATGATTGGTCATACTGTATCTGTATCTTTGTATCAGTTATGCATTATATTAGGTATCGTGGTTGACCGTTTAATTCCTAAAAAAGTAATTTTTTTTATTAAAAAACAGTACTATTAGTGTTTTTGAATAAAAAAAAATAATTTTTAAGGAATTAAACATACAACCACGTTTGCCAAATAAAAACCTTCTTAAACAGCTTTTGTTTAGATCTCTTTATAGAAATTTGACATTGGTAATATAATAGAACAATATTATTTTGTAAATAAAAACTTGCAACTGTCCCATCCGTTACGCGTGCAATGGACGTTAGGTATTTTTGGAATTGGAATTACTTTGACAGTTTTCCATAACAATGGTACAGAACCTGTGGTTAGTGAAAGGTTTAGAATATATGAGGCCTGTCAGAGCAAAGTCAACAATCTCCCGTCAGACTAAAACTGAGTAAATTGAGATAATGGGGTAGTTAAATTTTTTCTGACCTATACTTTTTATGGTTTTATTCAAGGCGTTTTGTAATATTAAACATTTCTGTGAAATCAGAATTTCAATTGAGTTTACCGTTTTCGAGATATTTACAAAAAATATAAATTTTATGACGTCACAAACCCCGTCATGTGACCAACATTCTAAGATTTCTATTGGTTGAAAATTACCCTGTTGTCAAGTTGTCTTGTTAATGATTTCATTCGGTTATGTCAGAAAATACCCGAAGAGGTTATGTACAAATACTGTCACTGTCAGTTGAGTGAAAGAAGAAGAAGAGAAGGTTAAAGAAAATTCTGAAATTAAAACTTTTATTGATAGGTTTACACATTGAAACACCGTGTGAAACCTAATAAAATGTAATAAATAGGTACCTAATAACTGTCTAAAGCAGAGTTTAATTTATTTCATAGAAAAAAGTGGCAAAATAAAGCTGAAAATGAATGAAATAAATTTACAAAAAATAATAATATATCTAAAAGAATATAAAGAACTAGGCATTATACCAATGAAATGCATTTACGACAAAATATGATTATAATTATAGGTACATACTTTTTTTGTTTAAAAGCTCCAATGTTCAATGTAACCAACCATTCCACAAGATTTCTCTGCTTTGGAGTCCGTTATTAATAAATCACTTATCTAATATCAATTACAAATAACATAACAATAACATTGATTTTCAATAATTTAAATTTAAAAAAAACAACCCGAAAAAAAGAAACGTCAAAAAATCAATTCTTCTTCTCAACTAAAATATTATAACGTGGCGCCATCTATCGTAAACTAAACACACTGGCAACCATAGAAAAAGCTGGCAACGTTGTCAATAGCCTAGTGACGTAATTAGGAGATTTTGTTTTGTAAATATCTCGAAAACGGTAACCTCAATTGAAATTCCGATTTCACAGAAATGTTTAAAATTACAAAACGCCTTGAATAAAACCATAAAAAGTATAGGTCAAAAAAAATTTAACTACCCCATTGATTTTGGTATTTTAAATTCTAGATTTGTAATTTTTTTTTTATATTATATCGAAACATTGTTGTTGTTAGTCTAGTACCCAACTACAAGGTCTCCAGGATTCATAGTATAGGTGAAATCTATAATTATAAATTGGAGATTGCTGACTTTGATATGAATTGCTGGAGATTGCTCATTTTGTTGTAAACGTTTAAGGAGATTTAGAAAAATAAACAAAAAAATAATTGTATTTTTCTCCCTTTAATGGTTATAAAATTTAACTATACTATCAATGTGGGAAAATTCTGAAATGGACGACATAAATCTGGAAGTTCTTCTAAATCTGGGACCAGGTTGCCTCGTGCAAAAAAGTTTTTATAGTACAATATGTTGCAACTCATCATCTTCTTCCCACTTTGCCCTGTAATGTTTTACTTGCAATGGTTTGACATTATCAGCCTTTTCTTGCTTTACCTTTACATCTTATTATGGTATAATAGCACAAAATAAACAAGATAACTTTTTTTATAATTCTTAAAACAATAAAACGTATATACACTTATTTTAAATATATTTTTAGTGCAATTTACTGCAATAGAACTTAACAGTATTAAATTAAATCTCTAAAATACGTTATAACATCAAATGTTAGGATATCAGGTGACACAAATTACTAATTTCTAATGGTGGAATTGGAGGTTGTATACTTTGCTGCAAATCTATCAGTGGAGATTGTCGACTTTGCACTAAATGTCATTTTTAAAATAGGATTTTAGGCAGGATTTAGCTCCTTTCGCAGCACATAAACTTTATCATTTTATAGATTATCATTATTATTATTATTATTATTATAGATTATTATTAGTGTTGCAACGGTTACGGTTACGGTTACGGTTAATTCACGGTTTTCGATATTATACGGTTAACCGTAACCGTATGTCGTTAACCGTAACCGTATTTACGGTTTTTCATGCTACTTTGTGAATGCATGTAAAAAAAAGATTGAGGAGTAATTAACGTTACCAAATATACCACCTAAGTCAAATCCGTTTACATTCTGGAAAACGTGTTACACGTTTCGGCGTTTAAGAGTGTTGGCACTAAGGTATTATACAAACCATTGTCAGTGAATTCGGAGAGGTTGTTTTCGACTGCAGGTCTTGTGCAAACACCAAATAGGAACAGGCTGATTCCGCAGAATTTGCAGATGTTATGTTTTTTAAATAAAAATTTGACTCGTAAATTTTGAATTATTTTGAATTAACATTTAATTTTTTTATATTTTTAAATATATTATTCAGGTACCTACTTAGGTTTTACTTTACTGTTTTTAGGTTTAAAATGTAACTCATTTCCTATTGTTTTACAGTTTTATTAGAAATTCTGTTTTTGTTTTACATAAATTATTATTTAACCTTTACTGAACGTGTGTATTAATTTCAAAACTTTATTTTTCGTAATTCTGTAATTTTTTTTTTAATAACCGTGAATTTATTCGTAACCGTATAGCTAACCGTAACCGTAACCGTAACCGTAAAACCCGAAACCGTTGCATCACTAATTATTATTAATTATAATTAGTTGAAGTACAGTCTCCGCCAAAAATTTAATTTTTGACCAAAAGTGGAGATTGTCGGTTTTGCTATGACAGGCCTCATATGCAATAAGACAGATTATTTCCCTCAATATAATATGAGCCAATCAAAAGCCTTGAATTTTCGAATAAATTTCGTTTAAATAAGCGATTAAATCACTGGACCTATTTAACAGCGATTAAATTTTAGCCTCCATATTGGATTTTTGTTTACGATTTTATGGTGTTATTTACAAGTTTTAACAAACATTTTTTAAAAAACAATAAAAAATAAGTTATCTAGTTTACGAAATATCAATTATTAATTATTACATAACTTAAATTAATGGAATTTTTTTTAAAAAAATATTTATAAATTTTGACACATACGTCAGATTTTATGAATTGTCAAATAGTTTCCTTTAATTCGAGAAATAATCTAGACGTATATCACTCAACCTATAAATTTAATCTGTCAAACTATGCTCAGTAAGTTTTTTATTTGATTTTTCTTTTTGGAAAATAGTTTCATGCAAAATAATTAAAAATAAAACCCCTCGACCGCTACGCGGTCTCGTGATTTTATTAAATTATTTTGCATTCAGCATTTTCCAACAAAAACCAAACAAAAAACTACTGAGCCTAGTTTAATCGATTAAATTCATAGTTCTTGTGATGTAATAAATGATTATTTCCCTCATTACAATATGAACCAATCAAAAGCCTTGAATTTTCGAATAAATTTCGTTTAAATAAGCGATTAAATCACTAGAACTATTTAACAGCGATTAAATTTTAGCCTCCATATTGGATTTTTGTTTACGATTTTATGGTGTTATTTACAAGTTTTAACAAACATTTTTTAAAAAACAATAAAAAATAAGTTATCTAGTTTACGAAATATCCTTTATTACTTATTACATACCTTAAATTAATGGAATTTTCTTTAAAAAAATATTTATAAATTTTGACACATACGTCAGATTTTATGAATTGTCAAATAGTTTCCTTTAATTCGAGAAATAATCTAGCCTATAAATTTAATCTGTCAAACTATGCTCAGTAAGTTTTTTATTTGATTTTTCTTTTTGGAAAATAGTTTCATGCAAAATAATTAAAAATAAAACCCCTCGACCGCTACGCGGTCTCGTGATTTTATTAAATTATTTTGCATTCAGCATTTTCCAACAAAAACCAAACAAAAAACTACTGAGCCCAGTTTAACCGATTAAATTCATAGTTCTCGTGATATAATATATGTAGAATGTTCCACATTCTACATTCCACATACTTTATGTAAACCGCTCTGTTCCGTTTCAGCGACCGTGACCGAACGACGCCTCGTGGGTCACCGTCAAGAGGTGTGCGGTCTGAAATGGTCGCCCGACAACCAGTACCTGGCGTCGGGCGGCAACGACAACCGCCTGTACGTGTGGAACGCGCAGTCGCTCTCGCCCGTCCAGACCTACACCGACCACCTCGCGGCCGTCAAGGCCATCGCCTGGTCCCCGCACCACCACGGCCTGCTTGCCAGCGGCGGCGGCACCGCCGACCGCTGCATCCGCTTCTGGAACACTTTAACTGGCCAGCCGATGCAGTGCGTGGACACCGGCTCGCAGGTGTGTATGGCAAGACGTTTAAGTTTTTATTACACATGCCTATCAAGTCTCATTTTAATTCGACTTGATTTCTATGAGACATTGGATAATTGATATTATTTATATTAATCCAGTCATCTAGGCATTTCACCTCGGAATCTAACGGAATAAGCTGAATTTTTGTACAAACCTTTATTTTAGCATTACAAATGTTGTCTCAAAAGTCACATATCTGTGGGTAAAAGGCATAAGGGGATAAGTCAAAAAAAGCAATTTTTCAATAGAGCCTTTAACGTGTTCGCATTAATTCAGGAAATATATTTATGCTAACAAAAGGGTATACCCGCTAACCATAAATATATTTCCTGAATTAATGCGAATACGTTTAAGGCTGGACTGAAAAATTGATCATTTTGACTTATCCCCTTATGCCTTTTGCCCACAGATATGAAAACGTGTGAGCGGCCTTAGATATTCAAGGTCAAAGGTTGCAAAAATCAATTTTTTGAGAATATCTCCTTTTCTCTACCTCCTATCGTATTTGCATTTATTATACAAGTTGTAGAGAATAAAATTCTCTAAAAATTTTGTTTAAAACATTTTTTATACGTCTAATCGTTTTTGAGATAGAGGGCGCAGAGTGTGGAGCGCTCAGCCATACGTACCTTTAGCGCAAGGTAAATCATGAATCCCAATCTATTATACCGTTTTTTTAATTAATTATTTATTAAATATTACTTAAATAACAATTTAAAACCTTATATTTATTTTTATATATTTTTTTAAAACAGATAGTCATTAAATATTACTTACTTTTGACATACAAATAATTAAATAATGAAGTGAATCATTCTAAATATATTCTAATGTTATTCTAATTAATGATAAATGCATTTTAAGAAGAAAATACATTAAATGAATTTAATATATGAATGAAAACAACACTGTTTTAAAGTTTCACTAATTTATTTATGTTTTTAATAATTAACAATTGTTTCGCTACACTGTAGCTTCTTCAGAATTCTGAAGAAGCTACAGTGTAGCGAAACAATTGTTAATTATTAAAAACATAAATAAATTAGTGAAACTTTAAAACAGTGTTGTTTTCATTCATATATTAATAATATGGAGTTTCATCAAGTAAAGGTCGAAACAATCAACAAGTTAAATGAATTTGCCTTGAATATGTCTCTGGTCATCTCTTGGATCCAGATATTACTTTTAAAATAACAGACCTGGAAATACTATAGTGGGCTTGCTATAAATAAAAAGGTTAGGTATACCTATATTTAAGCAAGTTGTGACCCTAGGTATAGGTCTAGACTTGTGACAGATAATATTCGTAATATTTTAAAGGTTAACATGGCTGATTTGTGTTTTATTTATAATAAGTTACTTTCTAAAGGTGATTCTGCGACTTTTGTGAGCGGTATAAAGACTTTAAAAGAACCAATTACTGAGAGAAATAAACATAAACTACCTACATACTTTGACTTCTGTGAACGTTCATATTGAGTGTCGAAAATTGTACGCTATAGCGTACTACTATAGTAAAATTGCAGCAGCAAAACGTCGCCTTGAAGAGACTGGACCTTCAACGTCATCGACTGTACCTCGTAAAAAAGGGAATGATGTGTTTGATTTTAAAATATTTTGCCTATTTTGTGGTGAAGTCGCAGATGAGGCAACAAAGGCAAAACAATCTGCAAAGTACAAACGCGTTATTAGTAAGTTTTTGAAGATATTACAATGTCAATGATAACGAGGAGAGTGATGATGAGAATGAGTCTGAAATTGCTGGCCAACTTGAAAAAGATGAAGATGAAGAAGATAAAGATTAATAATAATAATATTGATATAAATAAAAACATTTTTTCCTACTACGATCCAATTATCCTTCATTAAAATTAAATTAAAATATAAGATATTTGATTTAAAAGAAATATAAATATAAGAATAGGGTATTAAATTTTTATTTTAGTAATATTTATTATATTATTAATTAAAAAAACGGTATAATAGATTGGGATTCACGATTTACCTTGCACTAAAGGTACGTATGGCCGAGCGCTCCACACTCTGCGCCCTCTATCTCAAAAACGGTTCGACGTATAAAAAAATTCTGTAAACAAAATTTGTAGAGAATTTTATTCTCTACAACTTTTATAATAAATGCAAATACGATAGGAGGCAGAGAAAACGAGATATTCTTAAAAAACTGATTTTTGCGACCTTTGACCTTGAATATCTAAGGCCGCTCACGCGTTGGCATATGTGACTTTTAAGACAACATTTGTAATGCTAAAATAAAGGTTTTCACAAAAATTCAGCTTATTCCGTTAGATTCCGAGGTTGATCCCTTTTTTTGACTAAGATGACTGTACTATATGTATTTTCCTTAAGGGAAATTACATTTTTATTATAATTTCAAAATTGAATGCATATTTTCTTTACAAATAGTACAAATAATGCATTTGTTGTATTTATTTCCATTGGTTTTTTAAATATTGTCCTTAACGTAAAAGCAATTTTCGTTAACAGAAATGGTATTAAATTTACTAATTATAATTTTAAAGCAAATTATTTCTACTGTTTTAGTTTTTTTGGAGCAATTTTATGACACATTAAAAGCATTTTATTTTAATTCAATTTTATTAAAGTAGCTTCTGACTTGGATACAATGTTACATTTTGTTTATGTTAGACCAGGCTAAGTATTAAATTAAAACGTATTAAAATTACTATTACGAATATAAATGCATTTGTCCTTAAAGATATAGTTTTATACTTTCCTAAATGACATAAAAATTAAAAACATTTTAATTTGAAATACTCATTGAAATGTTGTCCCGAATAAAATTTAGAACCGCAATATGGTGCTGTTCTGAGAGGTGATTTTTGGACTTTCTGTGAAACCTAATTTTTTTTATATTCTTGTTAATTAGGTCATAACTAAAATTTTAAGAGCAAAATAAAAAAAATTTGACGGTTTGAATTGTTTTAATTGGCTGTTTATTAAAAATATTATGCACTCTTTCAATTATCCAATTAAAACTAGCGATTTAATTTAAATATTTAATATTTGCATAACTAAAAAAAAGGTTTTTACAATTTTAATTATATATTTTACTGTTTTGTTGCGATATACGTTCAAACTTTTAATCTAACCTTTGACGTATACATTTATGTTCCCTTAATTAATATATCCTTAAAGGTTGCCATGAAACTTAGATCTATTTAAAATTTATTTGATGTTTGAATTGTCATTTTCAGTATACGTATTCTATGATTTTTGTTTAGTTTTTTAAAGTGTTTTTTATAAACAAAAATGAAAAATTGTAGTAAAAGTCACGAAGAAATTCATGAAATTTAACTAAGGACCGGTTTATTCATCTTTAGTAAAGTTTATCGGGCCGATAACTTTCATGTCTTGGCAATATCTAGTATCCAAAGAAATTATTCGTCAAATAAATCAAAATTGAATAAATCGGCCCTAAATAAAATGTGGCACCCTTAGAATTATTGTTTAATAAATGTATACTATACATTTAACCTTAAATTAAAACTTTAAACGTGTATTACAACAAAACAGTAAAAGATATAAAAAATGTATACCTAGACCTTTTTTTAGGAAATTAACTAATCTTTAATCTGATTTAAAAAGTTATGATAATATTTAAATAAAATCGCAAGTTTTAATTGGAGAATTGAAAGTGTGCATACATATTTTTAATAAACATCCAATTAAAACAAAATTAACCGTCAAATTTTTTTTTATTTTGCTCTTAAAATTTTAGTTATGACCTAATTAACAAGAATATAAAAAAAAAATTAGGTTTCACAGAAACTCCAAAAATCAACTCTCAGAACAGCACCGTGATAGAGTATAACAATATTTAAAGAACCAGAAAATAACATCGAATTAAAATGAGACTTGAAGATCATATGTACAAAAAATAGCCCAAATACTTTTATTTTTAACTAAACCGAAATTAACTTTTTTTTACCATAGGTGTGCAACCTGGCCTGGTCCAAGCACAGCTCCGAGCTGGTCTCCACCCACGGCTACTCGCAGAACCAGATCTTAGTCTGGAAGTACCCGAGTCTGACGCAGGTGGCCAAACTCACAGGCCACTCGTACAGGGTGCTGTATTTGGCGCTGTCGCCCGACGGCGAGGCGATAGTCACGGGCGCCGGGGACGAGACCCTGCGCTTCTGGAACGTCTTCAGCAAGGCAAGATCTCAAAAGGAAACGCGCTCGGTTCTCAGCCTCTACACCGGTATCCGGTAAGCGTCTTTTCCCACGTTAGACCGGTGCAGAAGCCTTTAAAAATAACAGTAGGATGAAACCCATTGGAAAAGGAGGGGAATATAATAAAAATAAAAGGAAAAATAAATTACGGGCGATCTGACTTCGGGAAGTGGGAGGGGGGGGTTTAAGGGTAAAAAATGGTTTATCTCGATTTCCGGCAAAACTACAAGTCCTATGGAAAAAAGTTAAATGGCAAAGTTGTAGGTAATAAAAAGATCTACAACTTTTGTATTTACAATTTTTTCGCATAACCTCAAAATTTATGTGAAAAATTCAAAAAACCAAGTTTTTGGTTTTTTATTTTTATCTTTTTCAAAAAAAAATTTTTTCCACGAAATTTGGTGAAAACTTACCTTTTTATGTCCCAAATACACTGTAATTTATTTGATTTGAAATATTTATTATTTCGCCTTATTTTGACTTAATATCAAAAAGCACCCTAATTTTCAGTCGAAAATTCTCGCGTCAAAATATCAGCTTTTTTCAAAAAGTCGGTATGCTTTTTGTTCGATGAACTCTCTACTTTCTGATGGTGTAAAAAAATATACATTACTATGGTAAATGTTCTCAGAAAATACAAAAAATATTATAATGAATAACGTAATCAGAATGACGTATCTAAATTCAATAGTATGATTTACATGTATTTTTATATTTTATGAGATTTTCTGACATAAATGTTATTAGAATTTAATAAATAAACTTTTTAACTAAAAAAAATTGCAACAATCACATTTTTTTGATGAAATTGTACATAATGAATTTTCGAATTCGAGTTTTTTTCGTTATTCATTATAATATTTTTTGCATTTTCTGAGAACATTTACCATAGTAATGTATATTTTTTACACCATCAGAAAGGAGAGATTTCAACGAACAAAAAGCACACCGACTTTTTGAAAAAAGCTGATATTTTGACGCGAGAATTTTCGATTGAAAATTAGGGTGCTTTTTTGATATTAAGTCAAAATAAGGCGAAATAATAAATATTTCAAATCAAATAAATTACAGTGTATTTGGGACATAAAAAGGTAAGTTTTCAGCAAATTTCGTGGAAACAAAATTTTTTTTGAAAAATATAAAAAATAAAAAACCAAAAACTTGGTTTTTTGAATTTTTCACATAAATTTTGAGGTTATGTAAAAAAATTGTAATTGCAAAAGTTGTAGATCCTTTTATTACCTACAACTTTGCTATTTAACTTTTTTCCATAGGACTTGTAGTTTTGCCGGAAATCGAGATAAACCATTTTTTACCTTTAAACCCCCCCCCCCCCTCCCACTTCCCGAACTCAGATCGCCCGTAATTTATTTTTCCTTTCTTTTTTATTATATTCTTCTCCTTTTCCAATGGGTTTCATCCTACTGTTATTTTTTTTGTTTTCAAAAATTATCGACCCTGGTCTACGTGTAATCATTGATTACTAATCAACTACGTAAAAGGTTTTATATATTGTCGACTATGTGATATTGACCCTTTTATGCTCTCATATTTATTTACTATATACATTTCAATTTTTATACACAACATGAAATTATTGATTATTTATTTTTAATTCTTATTTCCGTGAAATAATTTACTATAGTTACATAGTAACGCATATTTTAATTTTTTTTATTAATTATTAGAGTACAATAACAATATGTTTTTATATCAATTTATGTGCATTTTTTAATGCCGCAGGTTTCAAACCTTACAGTCATTAATTTTAGGGTAGATTAAGTGAAGCAAAGCAAAGCAATTTGTTTTGTTAAAAATGCAATATTTTAGTTTATTTGTGTAAATAAAAATAAATTTATTGTGAAACACTTGGTTTTTTATTTTAACACCTTACTAAACCTTTTGTGCTTGCGTGCCTATTTTTTCTGCAGTCAGGTATAGAAAAGCGACATTTTCAAGATCTGTTTTATAGTGTTTTTATATAATACAATTTTTCCACTCCCACCTTTAAAACGACCATTATCGTACAGGTTTGCATGACACTAAATGACCTATTAAATACACATTGGCGCTTTAGTCACGGCTGAAGTTAGTTTTAAGTTTGTTGACAGTTGTCTTGTAAAATAAATGTGAAAATTATTTTATTATCTCAATATAAAAATACAAAAGTATAGTTTCTTGACGCCAATACTTGAAAAGATTTTATGAACGTTTGTTGATTTCGCTGTAGTAGTGGATCGATTATCGATTGTCTTTCTATGAACAGATACCGATCCTACCATTTTTTAAATTTGTCCCACTGTGTGAATTTGTCCTCTCCTTTTTTAAATTTATCCCACTGTGCAAATTTTTCCTACCCTTTTTTAAATTTGCCCCACTGTGCGAATTTGTCCTTTAATTTTTTAAATTTGTCCCACTGTGCGTTTTGTAGGTAGGCAACCCAGTTGGTACTTGTGCGTTACTTGATTGCCTACCTACAAATTATTGTTGGTAGCGCCATCTATTGTCAGTATGACTAAACTAAAAATGCAGCGCCATCTATGTAAGAAGTTTTAGTTCAGTCATACTGGGATAGATGGCGCTGCTAACAACATTTTGTAGGTAGGCAATCAAGAAACGAATATGTTCCTAATTAGTTGCCTACCTTTAGTAGCAGCGCCATCTATCCCAGAATGGCTGAACTAAAACTGCAAAGTTTTTGGTAGCATACATACATAGATGGCGCTTTAAAACTTTTGCATTTTTAGTTCAGTCATACTGAAATAGATGGCGCTGCCCACAATATTTTGTAGGTAGGCAACCCAGTAACGAACAAGTTCCAAATGGGTTGCCTACCTACAAACCGCACAGTGGGACAAATTAAAAAAATTAGAAGACAAATTCGCACAGTGGGACAAATTTAAAAAAAATAAAGGGTTAATTCCAGAGATATATAGAGATATATCTCTGGTTAATTCGCACAATTAAAAAAATTGAAGGACAAATTCGCACAATATATTTAAAAAATAGACACATTCTCACGGTGAGACAAATTTAAAAAATAGCATGGCAAATTGTGATAAATTTAAAAAATGGTAGGATTTGCACAGTGAGGTAAATTTAAAAAATGGATTTGTAAAATCTATCCAAGTAAACTAAAACAGCAAAATTTTTAATAGCGATTTAGTTTGGTTATTTGTACATGAAAACGGCATACGTTTTATTTTTGTTGTAAAGACTATTTTACAATTTTTAACTGATTTTAAATTGTAACTTCATTTATACTGTATACTTACCTAGAATATTTCAATTATTATTATTTTATAATGACATTAAATAGACAACAAGTTCGGCGCAAACAGAATTTAAATTGAAGTTTGCGAAAAAAAGTTAGTTTTTCCTGTCGCCTCACCCGCCTCCAGGCCCCCCTATTTAGATAATTCAAATTTAAGTGGTGCAATTTATTATCTACTATAATTTATCGATAAATTTAAAATTTTATTTAAAAAATCCAAATATTACTACAGGTTTTATACCATAAAAGTTAGTTTTATAAAATTATAATTATAATATTCAATTAACATAAAAAGCTCAAAAACAATCGATTTAAATGGTAAATTAAAATAATAAAAGACCTTTTTATCTAGTTATCAAAATATATTTGGTTAAAAAGTATAAAAACTACATGAAAATACAATAAAAAAAAATACAAAACAATACGTTACAAAGAAAAATACGACCAGCGTTATGTGAAAAATAAACTTCGGTCCAGCAGATATTCGAGTCCCAGATTTCGAATGGCCAGAAGTTTATCGCTTGCAACAGCCTTTCTTGTTGTACCGTCTTCTAACATTACATGGAGTGCAATCCGACTCGCTGGTGCTTTCAGTATCGTAACTGTCAGAATCGCTGTCTGAGTAGCTTGAAGAGTCGGTGTACTCCCTTTGGCGCCTTGAACCTTGGGATAGCTGCAAAAACGGATAACATTAGAACGGGTTGTGTGGATGGTTGCATATTAGGGCGATTCATTTCCGCAAAGTTTTTGTTTTCTTCGGTGCTCAAGCAAAATATTAATCTGCATATTGAAAAAAAAATTCTCAACAAGTTTGAGCTCTTAATATAAATTTTAAGTACTTACTATTTAAATTTAAAGATTTACCGTTTAAAATGCATGTAAAAAATATATATTTTTTTTCAAATTTCTAATGCTTACCCACCTTTGACAATATTGCAAATCGGTTTAATACACCTTATGGGGAATTTCACGCTCTTTAAAATTGCTTTTGAGTTTTTTTTTGTAACTCGCATTGGTTCACCAGTAGGAGTCGTCAAAGGACAGTTTTTGAAAAAAATCGTTTTTTTTTATTTTTTCTAACAAACCGCAAAAAGTAGGGAGAAAAAAGGGCTGAATCATAAAAAAAGTTATCCAACCAATATTTAATGAATTTACAGCCATTTTTATAACTGAAAACGTAAGAAATTGATAATTACCAACCCATAATGTTATTTAGATTGATTTTTTCTATTTATTATCATTATATTTCCCTACACTAAGAAGTTTTTTAAAATTATTGATTTCTCACTTATAATGAATATGAAAACAACAGATAAATTCATAAAAAACAATAAGAAAATTGTAACGTGGATTTTGCAATTTTTCAACATTTCTGTCATATAGCAAAAATATATAAATGAAGATTATTTAATTTTTTGAAGCGAAATTTGAAATATGTTACATAACCTTCTGTATATTCCGATTAAAGTTTTGTTGTTTTTTTTATGAATTTATGTGTTGTTTTCATATTCATTATGAGTGAGAAATCATAATAATTTTAAAAAAGTTTTTAGTGTAGGGAAATATAATGATAATAAATAGAAAAAATCGATCTAAATAACATTATGGGTTGGTATTTATCAATTTCTTACGTTTGCAGTTATAAAAATGGCAGTAAATTCATTAAATATTGGTTGGATAACTTTTTTTTTATGAATCAGCCCTTTTTTCTCACTACTTTTGGCGATTTACTCGAAAAAATAAAAAAAAAAACGATTTTTTTCAAAAACTGTCCTTTGACGACTCCTACTGGTGAACCAATGCGAGTTACAAAAAAAAACTCAAAAGCAATTTTAAAGAGCGTGAAATTCCCCACAAGGTGTATTAAACCGATTTGCAATATTGTCAAAGGTGGGTAAGCATTAGAAATTTGAAAAAATATATATATTTTTTACATGCATTTTAAACGGTAAAACTTTAAATTTAAATAGTAAGTGCTTAAAATTAATATTAAGAGCTCAAAATTGGTGAGAATGTTTTTTCCTATATGCAGATTAATATTTTGCGTGAGCACCGAAAAAAAACAAAAACTTTTCGGAAATGAATCACCCTATTGCATATGCGACTTACTTTGGAGTTTAGAATGAAATTGATGATTGCGGGTAGAACTTGGCAGGCCACGTCTAGAACGTTGGGCTTGCAGTTGCAGCAACATTCGTTTTGTTTGCTGCTGCTGCTGCTGCCGTTGCTAGCACCCGCATTTGCTTGACGAACAGCATTTTGAAGACCTACGAGGTTCGGATTTTCGCTGAGCAGCGTCTGTAGATTTTCTGGTTGAAGATGTTTTAGAAGTTGTAGTTGTTTTTTTTGTAGTCTTCTTTGGCGCTCCATTGCAAGGACAACCAGTACAAGGCATTATCAGTTTCGTCTACAACAATATTAATATAATATTAATACAAAAAAATAAAATAAGTTAAATAAATTACTTACCTTTAAGTATGTTTATTATAATATCGTGGCTTCTTCTTAACTAACAAAATTTTGACGCGTCGAGTTATTTATAGCATAACTAAAGCAAAGCAAAAACGAACACAAAAAACGGAGTAAAAAGTTGTGTCTCGTTAAATTTATCGCGAATGCACGATTTAAAGGATTTTACTGTACAGAGTGTGCGAGTAAATTAATAAAATATCTAACAATTATTTTGCGTATTTTATTGTAAATGTTTGCTGTCTGATACATTTCAACATTATTGTTACATTTCATCGTTGAGTTAAAATAATATAAATTTATATTATTTTACACGAAAAAATAATTATCAATAAATTGGTGTTGTTTTATTTAAAGTGTAAAATTAATATTAATTTTTACTTATGCTGTAGTAGTAGTAGTCTTAATAAAGTAAAGATCCCTATTCGTCCAACAATTGCTTTTGTTACAGCTAAAAACGCTGCTCTCAGTAATGGCATTTGAATTATAATTATAAAATAAATTTACGTTATGTTTATAAAAATAACACTCTTCCAGATGCAGAAACGCATTGATAAATATAGTTATTGTTATTTGTCCAAAAAACAGTTCTATACCGTTTACAAAATCGTTTTGTAGTAAATTTGTAAATTTTACAAATCCCTTTTCGTTTGAAATAAAACTTTTTTTATTATATTAATAAAATTTATGTAAATTTAACAATAAATTAATTCAATAAACTATTTTCATTGTAACAATTAATGGTCACATTTTCAACCCACTTTTGGGTGTTGGGTAGTTTTTTTTAAAATAATTGCAAGGCATTAAAACAAATTATTTATTATAACAAAAAAATTAACTCATATTATATGTCGTACAAAATAAAAAAAATATGAACTCACTTTTTAAACAACAAGTCTGCTTCGTTTTTAGATTAGACGTTAAATATTTCTTTTAGAAAACGTCGAAATTTTAATTTTCTTAATGATCTTTTTTATTTTTATCATGCTAGATTTTACCAATGTTCACCAAGGAGAGCGCTGGCCCTTTCCCCCTCTTTTTAAGGGAAATAACAAAAGTTTTGTTACCATTGCAAAACAATAGTAATTATAAAAAAGTCTTTTTATAGCAATAAAATATTTTTGTTATTGATCTTAACGTAAGTTATTAACATAGATTTTCCAACTGAAATAAAATTAATTTGAATTACAACGATAGTACCTAATTTAAAAAAGACAAATATGCCATAGTAAAATGAACAAATTTTACTATAACAACTGCGCATTACTTATGTAAGCGCAATTCACACACAACTATAGATTTGACAAAAAAAATTTAAGTTGGATAAAGATTTATTTATCTATGATAAAGATTTAATATAAACATAAAGTATTTCTTATTGCCATGACATTATAATTTCTGTTACTTTATTGGATGAACTTTTTTTATAAAAGCTAAACATTGCTGCTTCATTATAGTAAATGAGAATTTTATTAACAGTAAAAAAGTTTATTCTGTAATGAAAAATAATCTCATTACTTTGACAAATCGTAGGTTTTTGTCCCAATAAGACACTGAAAATTTAATAAAAACGGTACCTTAGGTGGTACATTTTTTTATAGCCATTGCAATTTTAAATTTAATATATATATTATTTTATTAATCGCTTACAAAATTAGTTTCATTATCAGTGCATGTACATTTTTCTGAGTGTGTGATACAACCAGAGATATATATCTATATCACTGGATACAACCTAAACCAACCAATTATAAATGATAGTACGAATATTCCCGGAAAAATTTCAGAAATTCCTATGAATTTTTATTTTTGTATTGATTTATTAAACCTTTTGTCAATATTATAAATTCAAAATGAAATTTTTAATATATTTAAAATATTAGTCATTATCATTTAGATGTCCCACTTTTAATATTTTTTCACAACATTTTTAAATAGTTTTGTACATGTTTTTTATTTTATTAATAATAAAAAAATATCTGGAAATATTTACAACATATCTACAGTTTATTTTAAAAATGTTAATAAAATGTTGCTTTTATGTTTATAAATGTGATACTTTTTGTGTAATAAATTTTCTTGTTTTGGTATTGTATTCCCATATTAGATATACTAAAACAGATGAATACCATAGATGGAGATAATTTTTTTGGACGCTAAAAATACAAGAAAATTAAGTAGGTAGACGTCTTAATAAAAAATATTAAAAAAATAAATAGTTTATTTTAAAAATAATTGATATAAATAAAAGTGAAATATAGAAAAAAAAAATTCTTTGGAAAAAGTTACAGAAATAAAATAAAAATTTTCTTTCTCCAGTCTTGGGTTTTCTTTTTAAGTTTCTTTTTTATTTGAATTATTTATTTTATATTTGATTGACACATAGGTCAAGGAGGATCCTTTTGAACAATTTTTACTGATAGGTATAATAAAAAAATACATTTAAACAAAAACAATTTATTAAACTTAATTTTAAACTATTTACATATTAAAAATATTCAGACTTATTTAGTTTTAAATTTTAAAATTGTTTTCTAACAATTATGTCATTAAGACGATTGAGTATTAGATTTAACAATTTTGGTTTTTAATGTCTTAAGATTGGTAATATCTTCCATAAACACATTATTTTTCTGTTGTTTACAATATCTTAGCAAATAACCAAGACAAGCTTCAGCAAAGTCTTTATCAACAATTTCTTCTTTTTCTATTTTTATAGGAATAGAAAATTCGTTTGATGATGTGTAGTCATTTAAAGGGTTTTCATAGTTATCATAGTCTTTATCAACAATTTCTTCCTCACTTTCTTCTTTTTCTATTTTTATAGGAATAGAAAATTCGTTTGATGATGTGTAGTCATTTAAAGGGTTTTCATAGTTATGGTCTTGTTTAACTGAATCCATAATTTGATTTATATTTTGCGGATCTTTTTCCATTTTAATTAAATTACGTGATTCATTATTAATTGTTGATCCAGGGATTGCAGTCAATTCTTTTTCAGAACAAGAAGGCAAAGGCAATGCGCCTATTTTTAAACTTGTACATCTTTTTCCATGTAAAATATCTTCATTTGAAAAATGATTTTCACATAAGTGGACATACTTGTCTACATAATCAATTTTGCATAATTTTTGCCACATACTGCAAATATGAGGATCTTGAGGAAATTTAAAAAAATGTTTATTTTTAAACGTTGGATCTGAATGATTGCAATAGAACGCAGAATTACACCCAGGGTATTTGCATCTATATTTTAGTCTGGCAGTAAATCTTTGCTTTGGAGTTGAATCTGCCATTGTTTTCAACATAATACTACAATTAAATATACATTAAAAGTTAGTTAAAAAAACTCATTTTAATTATATTATATGGTTTATTCCTGTTGTGTAAAAAACTGAACCAAACATATTCTCAAAGCTACAAGTTGTTTTGTGTTTGTTAAAATACAATGGTGGTTTGTTCTGCGTTGGGTTGTAGAAGTTAATAAGTATTTTAGCGTGAAATAACATTTCACAGGTAAAATAACCTTCCACAAGTAAAAATATATTCTATTCTATATAGACTTCATTCTTTCCTTAAATGGTTACTATAAAGTAATAAACATTTAAGTAAAACTTGGTTGCCACCAAGAAGACTTTGCAACTTTAAAAAAGGTGTTATAAGTAAAAAAAACTTTCAAGTAAATTTAATTTGTAGCAGTTACTTTCGTTTGCTACCTAAAGATTACATTATAATTATTTTTACTTTGTAGTCCCTTTGCAAGTTAAAATCTTGAAACTGGAACATAAGTTAAAAACTACAAAGTTCATAACTTAAAAGTTATTATTTTAGTATTTGGAACGTTAATGGTACTAACCAAAACTACGGTAAAGTAAATTAAGGTGGAAAAAACTTTAAAGTAACGAAAACTACTTCAAAGGAAAATTCTTCTTATCGGCCATTTTTACAGTACAGTACAACGTGGTAATGTAAATAATAAATTATTTTAATTGTTTGTAAATGGTTGTTTACTTTTTAATAAATGGTAATTTTGTTGGTAATAGACGGTATTAATAATTAAATAAAAAATTAATAATAAATATTAAGATTTTTATATTTATAAACATTATTAAATAAATAATTTGTTTATACTTAAATATTGATGAAGCGCATTTATTTTACAAAAACTAAATTCATAAGTTAACAGTGAAATTTAAAGGGTTTATAAATTTACCTTCCTAATTAAACATTATATTGTTATTCTGGTAGTTATAAACGTCCAGTACATATTTAATAAACGACGTCATTGAAAAGCCAAGTCCGTAGTGGTTCCATTTAAAAAAGGAGGGATAGTATAATCTAATATAAGTTTGACAAAGACAGTTAATATAGAATTAAAACAAATAAATAAAAGTAAATATAACCCTCTAGCAACGAAATTGAAACTTTCTAGTAACGTAGCAGCTATGTTGGGTTGGGTAGCAGGGTTTATAAATAGCTAGTGACATATTTGTTACCTTTTTGGAACTTAATAATTGTTCCCCACTTCAGTCGTAACTTGGTAATGAAAGAGTAATATAAAGAGACTGGCGACTGTCGCAAAACACTTTAAAGTTTCTTCAATAGTCGCATATTCGTAACAAATACTTAAATTGTTGCTTGGGAGAGTTGCCATATCTTAAAAGGTTTTGTGCATATGGCCATAATAATGTTTAAAAATAAATATTTTGGTGAAAATAACCTTAAAGTAATTCAAACTACTTACCAAATTCAACACTTCCCAAAAATAATTTTATTTCTTCAACTTTTCAAGCAAATTTGAAATATTTGTTATGTCATCTGAAAAGTTAATATCTCCTTGTTGTTTTAAATATTCTAATGCATATTCAAGGCATTGTTCGGCAAAGTCCTTTTGAATTGGTTCTAAAAAATGCATAATGTAAAGTTCTTTTTTTTATCCGAACTGCGGCAACGTTGCAAATTTAGGGGTTTGGTTGGTACCAAAATTGGTTGCATTGATTAAAACAAACTAAACTAGTTATAAATGAAATTGTGGTTATGTTTAAATAAGGCGATGTATTTTTTCTGCCATTGAGGCATTTGGAATAACTTCATCGAAATGAAGTTTTGCCCTTAAAAGTTTTTTTACTTTAGAATCTGATATTTTTGGAATAGTTATCTTTTTATATTGATATTATATTATAATTAACAAGTAAATTATCAATAATAAATATTACTGTAAATTTGACAGTGTCTTTAATGAAGGGCTTCAGCAGAAGTACCATTTTTTAAATACTAAATCAAACTGGCAAAAGCTAAAAGGTTATGTTCATAAAAAATATTTAAATCTTACCTGAACTTTCTGCTACACTGTAGTCATGGTCACTTTCGAGATTGTTAAAAGTTTGCTCCTCTTCATCAATTATCTCCTGTTTGATAAAAGTTTCACCAATAGGTAAATAAGTGTTAGGTGCAAAAGGTAAATAAGTGTTAGGTGCAAGATTTTGATTTTGATTCTGACTAGGTGCAACTGGTTCTCTACAGTTTTTTGTAGCATTCACTTCATTTGAATCAGTGGGTTCTGTTTTGATTTCCTTGTATAATACTTTATTCTGGTCATATAATTTAGGTAAATTTTGCAATTCTGTGTTGCTACAAACCACTTCTAGTTCCAATTCAGGCTCAGGCAAGTCTGTCAAAAGTTTATCCTAAAAATATGTTTGTTTCACATACTAGATCTATAAACTATGGACTACTCCAAAAACGTAATGGGGTAGTTAAATTTTTTCTGACCTATACTTTTTATGGTTTTATTCAAGGCGTTTTGTAATTTTAAACATTTCTGTGAAATCGGAATTTCAATTGAGTTTACCGTTTTCGAGATATTTACAAAACAAAATCTCCTAATTACGTCACTAGGCTATTGACAACGTTGCCAGCTTTTTCTATGCATATACTTACCAGTGGTAAGTATATGTTTCTATGGTTGCCAGTGTGTTTAGTTTACGATAGATGGCGCCACGTTATAATATTTTAGTTGAGAAGAAGAATTGATTTTTTGACGTTTCTTTTTTTCGGGTTGTTTTTTTTAAATTAAGATTATTGAAAATCAATTTTATTGTTATGTTATTTGTAATTGATATTAGATAAGTGATTTATTAATAACGGACTCCAAAGCAGAGAAATCTTGTGGAATGGTTGGTTACATTGAACATTGGAGCTTTTAAACAAAAAAAGTAAGTACTATGCTCCACACCTCAAAGTCCCACCACGTGACCACGTACGGAACGCAGTCTTTTGAAAATTTGGCATTTAGGGCTTTTCAGGTTATGTATCTGTCAAAGTATAGTCAATGAAAGAAATAATAGTATGTTTAAGAGTTAAAAATGTATAAATCTTTATAACATTACAATAACAATGGTTGGTTTAAGAATTTAGGAATATAAATACTGCATTTAATGAAATTTCAAAGTGTAAGGTGCAATATAAGTGATTTTTTGTGCATTTGGTCTACATTTCTCCATAAAATAGTTTTAACTAAACAGCATTTATTAAGAAAAATCTAACTTCTCTATTATGAAATAAGAATATCTGTATCAAAGGTAGGTTAATGTATTAGAACAAAAAATATCATCTAATTTTGTATTTTAAGGTTAGAAAAATCTATTTTGACCAAAATTAATAAGTGGATTATTTGAAAGAGTGTGTTAATATGGTCATAAATAAATATAGGTATACTAAATAATTGTTGAATATGGTTCAAATTAAATTGAAGCTTTTATACTTCTAACGACAAAACTTGTGCATACCTCTCAGCATACTTACTTTAAGTTAGATTATAAGAAAACAAACAATTTTTAGAGAAACTTGCAATGTGAAAATATTTAATACTCCCATGACATGTGATTTATTAAAATTTTTAAAGTTATAATGATTTTTTGATGTATAGTTATAATGATTTTTTGATGTAGATTAAGTTCAGTCGAACTATTTGTATTGACAAAACTTTATGTAGGTACACTTTAAGCTGGATAAGAAAAACTACCACATTTTTAAATACCACATTATACAGTCTTTTAAATAATCCAAAATACTTTTATTTTGGTCAAAATAAATTTTTCTAACCTTCATATTACAAAATTAGGTGATATTTTTGTTATAATATATTAACCTACAGATATTCTTATTCCATAATGGAGAAGCTAGATTTTTTTTTATAAATGCTTTTTAGTTAAAATTATTTTATGGAAAAAAAACAGATATTTGGACCAAATGCACAAAAATATTACTTATTTGGCACCATACACTTTAGAATTTCATTAAATACAGTATTTTTATTCTTAAATTCTTAAACCATCCATTGTTATTGTAATGTTATAAAGATTTATACATTTTTAACGCCTAAACATAATATTATTTCTTTCGTTGACTATACTTTGGCAGATACATAACCTGAAAAGCCTTAAGAGCCAAATTTTCAAAAGACTGCGTTCCGTACGTGGTCACGTGGTGGGACTTTGAGGTGTGGAGCATAGTACCTATAATTCTGCCGTGCTTAATGAAAACGCCGTAACCAACAATTTTGCGATTTTTGTTTTACGGCATTCTTCTACTAGAACAATTCATCCTGTGTCTATCCCCGGTACTAAAAAACCGTATATATATATATAGATACGGTTTTTTGAGTACCGGGGATAGACGCAGTATGAATTGTTCTAGTAGAAAATGCCGTAAAACAAAAATCGCAAAATTGTTGGTTACGGCGTTTTCATTAAGCACGGCAGAATTAGGTATAATCCACAGACCTACAAACAAGATGGACTGGTTTATTTACATTGAAAAGAGTGGCCAGGAACAAAAATAAATATTTTCCCTCAGCTGTCACATTTGACTTTGAAGTTTCTATATTTTACGTAAAAGATACTTGGAATCCACAACATTTAATATTTTTTATTTGATTTTATAGTGAAAAATACCAATAGTGAGTGATATAAAAATGGTGAAGCAGTGCTACGTTTGTAAAAGACTTGGATCCAAGAATTTAAAACTTTCTTTTCATAGGTTAGTTTATTTACAAAACAAACCCTGCCAGGAGCGTAGAAACTGAATAAATAAATGAATTCACTTAAATTATAGATTTAAAGAGCCAGATTCTACATCATCTGGAACACTAACTGACAAGGTTAGTATTTTGTTATACCTATATATTTATATATATTAAATATAATTTTTACATAGGATTGCAAAACAAAATAAAAAATGTACAATTTAATATTTTTATTTATCCCTAAAAACAGAACGCCACTGGTGTGGGAACTTGTTTATAAATACCCCTTACCCCTTTACCCCTAATCTAAATAGTTCTTGGCAACAAAACATTGTGTATTTTGAATAGGAAAGGCCAGTCCATTTTGTTTGTAGGTCTGTGGTATAATCATATTTTGTCGTAAATGCATTTCATTGGTATAATGCCTAGTTCTTTATATTCTTTTAGATATATTATTATTTTTTGTAAATTTATTTCATTCATTTTCAGCTTTATTTTGCCACTTTTTTCTATGAAATAAATTAAACTCTGCTTTAGACAGTTATTAGGTTTTTATTTATTACATTTTATTAGGTTTCACACGGTGTTTCAATGTGTAAACCTATCAATAAAACTTTTAATTTCAGAATTTTCTTTAACCTTCTCTTCTTCTTCTTTCACTCAACTGACAGTGACAGTATTTGTACATAACTTCTTCGGGTATTTTCTGACATAACCGAATGAAATCATTAACAAGACAACTTGACAACAGGGTAATTTTCAACCAATAGAAATCTTAAAATGTTGGTCACATGACGGGGTTTGTGACGTCATAAAAATTTATATTTTTTGTAAATATCTCGAAAACGGTAAACTCAATTGAAATTCTGATTTCACAGAAATGTTTAATATTACAAAACGCCTTGAATAAAACCATAAAAAGTATAGGTCAGAAAAAATTTAACTACCCCATTATAATTTAAACTAAAAAATATAAAGTTCATTTTTTTATCTGGACTGCGGCAACGTTGCAAATTTAGGGGTTTGGTTGGTAAATACGGAACCAAAATTGGTTGCATTGATTAAAATAAACTAGTTATAAATGTAATTGTGGTTATGTTTAAATTATTGTAAGTTACATTGAACGGTTGTCAAGTTGAGTTGTCAAAATTCGTAGTTAAAAATGCAATTAATTTGGCTTTAATGGTGCATAGAAGAGTAAAATCATATAAAAAGTAGTTAAATATAGGTGACTACGGCCCAGGAAAGACAAAGTATTCCTAGCGGATAATAATCTTCGCTTTGAAAAGAATTTATACAAAAGAAATAAAAATTTTATGTGAACACACGTGAATTTTGTCCAATCATTGGACTCCAATGGTAAATGATACATAAATAACTATTTTTTTGATATTTTAACATTATTTTTTTTGTTATTGGATTAAAAAATAGTATTGAAAAATAAAGGTCATGCAAAAAAACTATTTGTCTTCAGAGACCTAAAACCTAACATTTATACCTCTTCAACAGAAAATTTGTTAACAACAGTCGGAATGCTGCCATATTTAATTCTAGTTCCGCTCTTGGTGAAATCGGTAGGCAAAAAATGATCTTCGCAAACATAAAGAAACTGAATTTTATTCCGCAACGAAATAAATTTTTCTTTGTCCGGAATTGTATTCTCTAAATCTTGCATAAGAAACTTAATCCATTGTCTGCGAAGAAATTTATCTTTTGGGCATCTAAACAGGCTCTTATTTTTACGACCAACAACATATCTATTCTCGCACCTTGCACAGGTTTTACTAAAGCTATATACATATTTCCCTTTATATTTCATACTTTACATTTAGATGAAACCAACTTATATACATATATATGAATTGTTCATCAAATTGCTAAAAATATAACATATAAGTAAACAATTAATTCAGTTATTTAATAGATATATATTACCCACTCATTTATACTTTAAAACAATTTGATTTACAATAAATAAACAAAGATTTGTAACTATCTCGACTTTAACTAACCTCAAAACTTACAAGATTGCCAATAATAGCATGATACAAACAGATGAAATAAAAATTCCCCAAAAGAACGATGGTTTGTATTTTCGGTTGCATACAGTATTTTTCAATAAATGAAATTTATACAGTTTTTGCTTATTATTTATTAAGAAAGTAGGTAATAATAAATAAATATAAACGTATATAAATTATTTTACTAGATATACCCAAATTTATTCATTTTGTTCAGCTATTAGGACCTGGCAAGTTTCCAGTGGCAACACTGTTCAGTGGTTAGAGAACTGTCAAAATTGAACATTGAATAATTTTACATCTTTTTATTTATTAAATTCTTAAAAATGGGGATAATTGGGTGAGTAGGCTTAGAAATATATTGCCTTTTTAATTTTAATTCATTTACTGTCAATATGAATAAAATAAAACTGTTCTTGAAAAATAACATTTATTTAAGAACAAAGTTGCATCCGTTACACTGGTAAAAATATAAGACTTACAATTAGATGGTTGTAATTTATATAAGAATTTTTATATTATAACAATGGTAATAAATAAAAATTTATATATATTACAGGTTTGCAGTAAAAGTTGGGTTAGCAGGAGGGGCCGTTTATTATATTAATAACCAAGGAGTATGGAGTCAAGACAGTCAAGAATCCGTAAAAACCTACAACAACATTAAAACTTCCATTAACCCATACATAGACGACATCAAAGCTCAAATCCCTATTGAGGTTAAAGATTACATAATCATACAAATTCTTCGATAACGTTTATTTTTTAGCTACCAAAAATTCCCGAAACAGACAACCTTTGGCAAATGGGCAGACAATATTGGAATAAAGGAGTTCAAGCCACATTCCAACATTTAAGTAACAGCCCGCAGTATATCAAAGAATGGACCCAAAATGGGTTAAACAGTGCAATGGAGAATGAGGGAATTAAAAGTTTCGTTGAATCCTTCTCGGCTAAAGAACAACCCTTGAAAAAAGGAAATTAGTAATTTTTGTGGATGTGTAATTCTAAATTATTTAAATATACCACATAAATGTGTTTTATTTGCATTTTTGAGACCTTTTGTTTACTGTAAATATAATTAATATAATTATAATTTTTATTTTGTTTGTTAGTCCTGCAAAACTTTTTTTTGTTGTGTTTGCATCAATACAGGGGTTAATTAAATAAAAATACATTAGGAAAAACTGAAAGGAACAGCCAGAAAATCAAAATTCGTACAACTTTGGATTCATTTGAATAGATGGCATTCGTACCAGGGCTTCAGATTAAATAAAAAAACGCCTTGCCACTTATGGAATTGCCGCATGGGGCTCTGCTTATGAAAATGCTCTTTTGCCACTTTTAAACTTGCAGAAAAGGGTACTAAAGGTAATTCTGGGAAATGATCAGTTTTGTAACAACCACCTTAATATTTATCAAAATTACTATCTAAAAACCATACTTATCAATTTTAATAACTTGTACGTTATGTACAAAAATAGTAATAAAACAACTAGGTTTAAAAGTATTGTACTGCCAAAAGTCAAGCTTGCTGTTGGTAAAAAAACTAGTCTCTACAATGGTATAAAAATCTTCAACATGTTACCTAATAACATCAAAGTAGTAAATATCCCAAAAAACAAATTTACTTTTAGGTTTAAACAAATGTTAAAAGACTGGATTACCAAAAACTGTACCAATAATTCATTGTTAACTTAATAGTATTAAATGTTGGAATTATAAACTGTTTTCGCAATGATAATGAAAATATTATATATTATTTTAGTTTTAGTTTAGTTTTAAGATCCTAGTTTTTAAGTTATGTACTGGACCTATGTACAGGTAATTTTATTACCTCCAATAGGCAGAAATTATTTTCTGTACACGTGTATCTGGATGTTAAATAAATAAATAAATAAATTCATTCATTCAATTGTTTTAGCGAGAAATTAGTAAACTTTACTAAGTAAAGTTCCCAATTGTTTAAATTAGTTTAAATAGTAAATTTCTCAAGGTAAGTTTGACAGATTTGATTTGCATAAATAAGAATTAGTAGGTACTTACTTTACCTTATTAACAATCAGTGGAACTGCTCTTGGAGTGAGTGTTACTCTACCTTTCCTAATTATATTAACATCTCCATTTCGTAACACTGTAATATAAGAATGCTGGATTTCATTACTTTGAAAATGCAGTTCACAAACATGATTTTGCTCTGTTAATTCTGTAGATAAAGTCTCTATCCATTGCTGACGTTTTGTTGGACTCTGTTGAAATATTGCATGCAGATAAACTACTATAATAATAATAATATTATGTTATATTTAAGTATTAAAATTATGAATTTTCCCCTATATTTTACATTAAAAAAATCTAGTTTCCTATGAAGATAATAGATATTAAATTTGATTTTTAATTTTTTTAACTTTTTAATACATATTATAAATTATTAATAATATTTTACTTACTTTCGGTACTTTAAAAAATTTTGGCTTTTTCAAATTCAGGGAATGTCTTTTCTTATTATCAGCTGCTCTGCCACTGTTACAATCTTTTACAGCACACACCCTTCCCATATTTTTTAGATACCCAGATATTATTTAAATGAATTATTTAACTGTTAAAAATGTATTGAGAATTTTAGGTTAGAATTATTTTACGTCAGTACAAAGGTAGAGTCTACTGCGCCGCCGGCGGGGATTTAAAAAATGTGGCTACGCCGGCGTTTTTTAAATTTTATTGCAGCATCGTCTTTCTTTTATAAAACTAGTTTACAGCCATTTTGCCCACCATGTCTCACTATGATTTTCTTGTGTAGTTTGGCTCACTAAACGCGCAAATCACACGTACATTTTTTTTCATATGAATTTTTAATTGTTTTTTTTTTAATTTTCTGAGGTATTTTGACGTTTTAGAGTATACTACGAGTTCTAATTATTAGACTTGACCAAACAAGCACTTGAATCAAAGGTAATGGGGTAGTTAAATTTTTTCTGACCTATACTTTTTATGGTTTTATTCAAGGCGTTTTGTAATTTTAAACATTTCTGTGAAATCAGAATTTCAATTGAGTTTACCGTTTTCGAGATATTTACAAAAAAAAAATCTCCTAATTACGTCACTAGGCTATTGACAACATTGCCAGCTTTTTCTATAGTTGCCAGTGTGTTTAGTTTAAGATTCTTACGATAGATGGCGCCACGTTATAATATTTTAGTTTTAAAACCCCTTGATCTATAATTTTAGTTGAGAAGAAGAAGAAGAATTGATTTTTTGACGTTTCTTTTTTTCCGGTTATGTTTTTTTTTTAATTTAGAATATTGAAAACTAATGTTATTGTTATGTTATTTGTAATTGATATTAGATAAGTGATTTATTAATAACGGACTCCAAAGCAGAGGAATCTTGTGGAATGGTTGGTTACATTGAACATTGGAGCTTTTAAACAAATAAAGTAAGTACCTATAATTATAATCATATTTTGTCGTAAATTCATTTTATTAGTATAATCTAAGTTCTTTATATTCTTTTAGATATATCTTGGACTCTAAAATATCAAACAGTAATATACCTCGTAATAACTGACAGTGACAGTACTGTTTTTAAAGTAATAATTTATGGCTGTTTATACGAATTGTATAAAAGTTATTAAATATTTTTTATGTTAACCCTATTAAAAATGCCATATAGAAACACAAAATAAAAATCTATCTGGTTCAATATAGGAATTTGAAACAGGCATTGCACTATTGAACCAGATAGAATTCCATACCTGAAAAACCATATAGAAAAGTGATTTCTATATGGATTGCCATATAGGTTCATATTGCTCTATCTGGCCCAATATGGTTTGGGTGTGAAAAAATTATTACCATATAGATCCATATTCAACCATATAGGGGAATCTATATGGTTTAATATGCAATTTTCGTTTAAATATATATACATTTTAAAATGGAATTCCATATTCAACCATATAGGGAAACCTATATGGAAAGACACATAAAGCAGAAACCAGATAAATCCATATAAAAATCCCTAAGTTGTACATTTTAAAATGAAATTCCATATTAAACCATATGCATATAGATTCCAAAGTGTAAACCAGGTCGTTCCATATAGGACATATAGAACCATATAAATCCATATTAGTTTCCTTATCTGGATCAATATGGGTTCTATAGGGCATTTTTAATAGGGAATATAAATATAATAAACATAGGCATAGAAAATTTTATAATTTGTATAATATAAATAACATATATACATAAATATTGGTTAATGTGACCAGAAATACTCATAAAACACAGACAAACTAGGAAAAATACAACACATTTTGTACGTTTCCTTTCCCTAAATAAATAATTACAACGAATAGCAGTTTTATAAACATTATGGTACAAGTAAAAAAATTAAGCACTTACTGTGGTCTTCATTATTAACTATGTAGAAAATGTTTCTGATTTCGGGCTCCGTATTTTGACCGTAGATTGTTTGTACAATAATACTCGCGATTATGACACGCTCTCGGTTCCGACGTTGTGAGTCATGTCAAATTTAAATTTTAAATAATGTTTTCGGTGAAAAAGGTACGTAAAAAACTCAAAAAATTCCAATCATGCACTTTGTTTAGGTTTTCATTAAAGAATAAACATATTACAAAATAAAAGAAAAAAAAATAAAATAAAAATCGTCAAAAAGCTGAATTTTGGTCTTTCACTAAAAAATTCATAATTTAGCCATTTTTCAATGTATTTTTATCAACATTAGCTTGTTTTTTTTTGTAAAAATGTAAAGGTAATGTATCTAAAACATTTACAAATGTTTTAAAAATGTTGTGAAAAAATATTGTATAAATATAAAATGTTGTAAAAACATTTTTGAGGCATTTAAATGGTAATGAATAATATTTCTAAAAATATGTATTCAATATTTTAAATATTTTTGTGTTATGTGGGAATTTAAAATTTAAGGAAAAAGTTGAGATGTGGTTTAATAAAAGACATTTGTTAAAGTAATAATTTATGGCTGTTTATACAACTTGTATAAAAGTTATTAAATATTTTTTATGTTAATATAAATATAATAAACATAGGCATAGAAAATTTTATAATTTGTATAATATAAATAACATATATACATAAATATTGGTTAATGTGACCAGAAATACTCATAAAACACAGACAAACTGGAAAAAATACAACACATTTTGTATGTTTCCTTTCCCTAAATAAATAATTACAACGAATAGCAGTTTTATAAACATTATGGTACATGTAAAAAAATTAAGCACTTACTGTGGTCTTCATTGTTAACTATGTAGAAAATGTTTCTTGATTTCGGGCTCCATATTTTGACCGTAGATTGTTTGTACAATAATACTAGCGATTAGGACACGCTCTCGGTTCCGACGTTGTGAGTCATGTCAAATTTAAATTTTAAATAATGTTTTCGGTGAAAAAGGTACGTAAAAAACTCAAAAAATTCCAATCATGCACTTAAGGTTTTCATTAAATAATAAAAATATTACAAAATAAAAGAAAAAAAAATAAAATAAAAATCGTCAAAAAGCTGAATTTTGGTCTTCCTAAAAAATATTGTATAAATATAAAACATTGTAAAAACATTTTAGAGGCATTTAAATGTTAATGAATAATATTTATTCAATATTTTAAATATTTTTGTGTAATGTGGGAATTTAAAATTTAAGGAAGAAGTTGAGATGTGGTTTAATAAAACACATTCGTTAAAGTAATAATTTATGGCTGTTTATACGACTTGTATAAAAGTTATTAAATATTTTTTATGTTAATATAAATATAATAAACATAGGCATAGAAAATTTTATAATTTGTATAATATAAATAACATATATACATAAATATTGGTTAATGTGACCAGAAATACTCATAAAACACAGACAAACTGGGAAAAATACAACACATTTTGTACGTTTCCTTTCCCTAAATAAATAATTACAACGAATAGCAGTTTTATAAACATTATGGTACAAGTAAAAAAATTAAGCACTTACTGTGGTCTTCATTGTTAACTGTGTAGAAAATGTTTCTTGATTTCGGGCTCCGTATTTTGACCGTAGATTGTTTGTACAATAATACTGCGATTAGGACACGCTCTCGGTTCCAACGTTGTGAGTCATGTCAAATTTAAATTTTGAATAATGTTTTCGGTGAAAAAGAAATGTTTTAAAAATATTGTATAAATATAAAACGTTGTAAAAACATTTTAGAAGCATTTAAATGGTAATGAATAATATTTCTAAAAATATTTATTCAATATTTTAAATATTTTTGTGTTATGTGGGAATTTAAAATTTAAGGAAAAAGTTGAGATGTGGTTTAATAAAAGACAGATGTTAAAGTAATAATTTATGGCTGTTTATACGACTTGTATAAAAGTTATTAAATATTTCTTATGTTAATATAAATATAATAAACATAGGCATAGAAAATTTGATAATTTGTATAATATAAATAACATATATACATAAATATTGGTTAATGTGACCAGAAATACTCATAAAACACAGACAAACTGGGAAAAATACAGCACATTTTGTACGTTTCCTTTCCCTAAATAAATAATTACAACGAATAGCGGTTTTATAAACATTATGGTACAAGTAAAAAAATTAAGCACTTACTGTGGTCTTCATTGTTAACTGTGTAGAAAATGTTTCTTGATTTCGGGCTCCGTATTTTGACCGTAGATTGTTTGTACAATAATACTGCGATTAGGACACGCTCTCGGTTCCAACTTTGTGAGTCATGTCAAATTTAAATTTTGAATAATGTTTTCGGTGAAAAAAAAATGTTTTAAAAATGTTCTGAAAAAATATTGTATAAATATAAAACGTTGTAAAAACATTTAAATGGTAATGAATAATATTTCTAAAAATATTTATTCAATATTTTAAATATTTTTGTGTTAAGTGGGAATTTAAAATTTAAGGAAGAAGTTGAGATGTGGTTTAATAAAAGACAGTTGTTAAAGTAATAATTTATGGCTGTTTATACGACTTGTATAAAAGTTATTAAATATTTTTTATGTTAATATAAATATAATAAACATAGGCATAGAAAATTTTATAATTTGTATAATATAAATAACATATATACATAAATATCGGTTAATGTGACCAGAAATACTCATAAAACACAGACAAACTGGGAAAAGTACACATTTTGTACGTTTCCTCTCCCTAAATAAATAATTACAACGAATAGCAGTTTTATAAACATTATGGTACAAGTAAAAAAATTAAGCACTTACTGTGGTCTTCATTGTTAACTGTGTAGAAAATGTTTCTTGATTTCGGCTCCGTATTTTGACCGTAGATTGTTTGTACAATAATACTACAATTAGGACACGCTCTCGGTTCCGACGTTGTGAGTCATGTCAAATTTAAATTTTGAATAATGTTTTCGGTGAAAAAAGTACGTAAAAAGCCCAAAAAATTCCAATCATGCACTTTATTGAGGTTTTCATTAAAGGATAAACATATTACAAAATAAAAGAAAAAAAATTAAATAAAAATCGTCAAAAAGCTGAATTTTGGTCTTCCACTAAAAAATTCATAACTTCGTATTTTTCAATGTATTTTTATCAAAATTAGCTTGTTTTTTTTTGTAAAAATGTCAGCTTCACGAAAAAAAAATCAAACTGGAGTTATCTGTGTGATTTAAACGTCAAAGTGGGAATTTAAAATTTAAGGAAGAAGTTGAGATGTGGTTTAATAAAAGACATTTGTTAAAGTAATAATTTATGGCTGTTTAAACGACTTGTATAAAAGTTATTAAATATTTTTTATGTTAATATAAATATAATAAACATAGGCATAGAAAATTTTATAATTTGTATAATATAAATAACATATATACATAAATATTGGTTAATGTGACCAGAAATACTCATAAAACACAGACAAACTGGGAAAAGTACAACACATTTTGTACGTTTCCTTTCCCTAAATAAATAATTACAACGAATAGCAGTTTTATAAACATTATGGTACAAGTAAAAAAATTAAGCACTTACTGTGGTCTTCATTGTTAACTATGTAGAAAATGTTTCTGATTTCGGGCTCCGTATTTTGACCGTAGATTGTTTGTACAATAATACTCGCGATTAGGACACACTTTCGGTACAAACGTTGTGAGTCATGTCAAATTTAAATTTTGAATAATGTTTTCGGTGATAAAGGTACGTAAAAAGCTCAAAAAATTCCAATCATGCACTTTATTCAGGTTTTCATTAAGGAATAAACATATTACAAAATAATAGAAAAAAAATAAAATAAAATCGTCAAAAAGCTGAATTTTGGTCTTTCTAAAAAATATTGTATAAATATAAAACGTTGTAAAATAATTTTAGAGGCATTTAAATGCTAATGAATAATATTTCTAAAAATATTTATTCAATATTTTAAATATTTTTGTGTTAAGTGGGAATTAAAAATTTAAGGAAGAAGTTGAGATGTGGTTTAATAAAAGACAGTTGTTAAAGTAATAATTTATGGCTGTTTATACGACTTGTATAAAAGTTATTAAATATTTTTTATGTTAATATAAATATAATAAACATAGGCGTAGAAAATTTTATAATTTGTGTAATATAAATAACATATATACATAAATATTGGTTAATGTGACCAGAAATACTCATAAAACACAGACAAACTGGGAAAAATACAACACATTTTGTACGTTTCCTTTCCCTAAATAAATAATTACAACGAATAGCGGTTTTATAAACATTATGGTACAAGTAAAAAAATTAAGCACTTACTGTGGTCTTCATTGTTAACTGTGTAGAAAATGTTTCTTGATTTCGGGCTCCGTATTTTGACCGTAGATTGTTTGTACAATAATACTGCGATTAGGACACGCTCTCGGTTCCGACGTTGTGCGTGAGGTTCGAGTCCAAGCTGTTGCAGTCGGAGTCGTTGGAGTGCGGGCTGGAGTAGTTTGCGGCCTCCTGGAGGCGCATCAGCATGTTGAGGAGGGGGTCCCCCTCGTTCTCCGCCTGGGCCGCGGGGCCCGCCTCGAGCCCCACGTCGGTGGAGGAGATGGTGGTGAGGCCCTGGGGGGACGCCCCCGGCCAGGGGTACGTGTCGAGGATGAACTGCGTGGGGTCGGTCCAGGGGGCTCTCCTGCCGTAGAGCTGGAGACCCTCGCGCGCCGCCTCGCGCAAGTAGGGGGATAAAGAGTAGTTCCACACGTCAGCGAACCACGCTCTCGAAGCGTCCAGTTCCAGTGGACAACCTGCGCAAGAGAAGAATGCCCGTTTTGTAGATTCGTTTTGTAATCCTTCTTAAATAAAAACAGGGCTCCCGCGGGTAAATTACAAATTTTATTTAGGAATTTAGGAGGTTTTTTGGAGAATTTTAGGAGAAATAAAGTAGGTATGCAAATGAATTTATGTATTTAAATAAAAAAACACTGTAAAAATAAGAAAAAAAATCATTTTAACAAAAATATAGATAAATATAACTTCTTTTGTACAAATAGGTTACATTACAATAGTAACCAAATCGCGACGAGTTTTTTTTTAATAAAAGAGAGGTAAAATAACTATTTTTGTATATATATGGGGTATTCCATGGCAAATCGACCACTTTCCATTCTTTTCTACCCTTTGAAAAACATTTTTGAAATTTTTTAAATTTTTTTTTATCCAACCCCAAAAAAGTTTTTTCTTTTTCAAAAAAATAGTTTTTTATTTTTAAATGGCCATAACTTTTTTAAAATTGACCTTTTGGTATCTTTTTTTTTGAAATTTTTGTTTTTAAATGAATTTTTCGAAAAAATAGACAAAAAAAATTTAACATGATCAACTCTATGAAATTATCGCTTTTTTTAATAACATCGTTATTTTTGAGAAGTTCGCCAATTTTTAAGTTTTTAAAAAAAAAAAACTTCAATTAATGTTACAATTATTCCCGCCAATCTCAAAGTGGGCTGATTTTTTTCTATTTTTTTTTATTTAATTGAAAAAAAATGTCTAATTTTCAAAAATGCAACTGTAATAATCATTAATCCTAGTCAGTATAAATTGAGAATATAATACCTTAAAATCGTTAAATTGCATTTATTTTATTATATAAATAAAGTTTGTGAAAAAAACAAAAATTTCATTTTTGAAATACTAGCTGTATTTCTTGATCTATGTAAAGCCTTTGATGTTGTTGACCCAGATATATTACATAAAAAACTTGAGACAATTGGAGTTACAAAGAGAGCCCTTAAAATATTTACCAATTACTTTCACAAGCATTGGCGACAAAAATGGTAAAATTGAAAAAATTCACTATGGAGTTCCACAAGGGTCAGTGCTAGGGCCACTACTTTTCCTAATTTACATCAATGACATAACTGAATGTGATGTTAAAGGTGAAACAGTTTTATTTGCGGATGATACCGGACTTTTCTATTCTGGAAGTGAAGAGGAAGTGTTTGGATGGGCTCAAAGCGATTTAAATGCCATTAATGTGTGGACTAAGAAAAACAATATTAAACTTAATGAATCCAAGTGCAACTATCTAGTCATAAAAAGTAAAAAAAACTGTGATAACTATACTTTAACGTTAAATAAACAAATTTTGGATAAAGTGAAAAGTGCAAAATATTTAGGATTAATTATTGATGATAATCTTAGTTTTAGTGACCACATTCAAAGTCTCAAAAATAAAATTGGAAGCTTAAGTTATTACCTGAGAAGAAATGCTTATTTAATAAACAATTTAATATATAATGCATACATTAACTCCCACTTAATGTATCTTCCAGCTTTTTGGGGGCACGCAAAAAAAAGGACTTAAAGAGTTTGCAAGTGACACACAATAGACTTCTCAAGCTCTTATTTAACAAACCGTTCCTAACGAGCTCTACATATCTTTACAATGAACTAAATGTGTTAAACATTGTTGAGCTAATAATGCTGGATAGTGTCAAAGTGGTGTATAAACTTGGAAATAACCTAATAGAAACAACTGTAAACCTAACTAAAAACTGTGATAAACATAAACATAACACAAGGACCAGCCAGCATTATCACATTGCTTCAAATAATACTAAGTTTGGAGAAAGGAGAATAACACAATCTGCTATAAAATGGTACAATGAACTTCCTGAGACAACAAAAAACCAAAGAACAATAAAAACATTTTCGACATCGGTCAAAAACTATCTTTATCTTTAAGAAAACTGTGATAACTGCCTGTACCTACTTCCACTTATTTATTTTATATTTTAGTGTTTTTATGTAAAATTTGTTGAATATTTTTATTTTTCTACTATTGTACCTGCTATGGAATCATGTATTCTTTTTGGGTTTATTAAATAAATTAAAAAAAAGTAGAAATTTCACCACTTTTAATTTTATTAAAAAAAATCGCGTCGATATATAATTAACAATAATTGTGGATCTTGTTACTCAAAAATCTCATAATAGAAAAGTTATAAAGCAAAACATTCTTTAGATTGTTTACTATTTTAGCTATTATTTAAAAGAAAATTAAAAATTCTTTTTTTATATATAACACGGTATATTGTAGTCGAAAACAAACGAAATATGGCTAAAAATGAAAATTTTGTAGAAGTCTAGGAGCTACTACATGGATTTTGTTTCTTAAGTATAAATGTAGGCTGTGATATATTATTTTAAAAAGAATTTAATAAACTAGAACCTAAACATATATTTTTTTAAAAAAAACAACTACCTTAATGAAACAGTCAACTTGGTCTACTTATATTTATTTTAGGAGTTTTAAGAGATTTATGGTAATATTAGGAGTTTTCAAAATTTAAGCCAAATTTTAGGAATTTTATGAGTTTTAGGAGGTGTGAGAGCCCTGAAAATCTTGTGGTATATACCTACTTTGTTCTGAGTAGAAATTTGCCCAGTGTGCCCATGATTTTTGACGTAATGAGAATTAAAAATAAATATTAAATCATAATCTACTAAGTATTAGAAAGTTACCACATATTTTTTTTTGAAAAAACTTGATTCGTTTATTTACAATGTTTGATTAAAAAAAAATTGTAGCATATAATTCAAAAATTACTTTCTTGTAAACTATTTATTAAAAAAAAGTATCCAAAAAAAAATAATAGGTTTTTTAAATTTTATTGATAATTGCATTTACTTTTTACCATTCTCACGAAATTTTATTAATTTTTTGTTAATAGTTTACAAGAAATTAATTTTTAAATCAAAATTCTACACATTTTTTTAACATAAATTGTGAATAAACAAATGAAGTTTAAATAAATAATGGTAACTTACTAGGTACTACTTAGTAGATTATTAATTATTATTTATTTTTAATTTTCATGACAATGTCGCTCAATTGGAAAATTTCTACTCTTCCACTTAAGTTTGTCTTTTAATTTGGGATTTAATTTCGATTTTTGTAGTGCTAATTTCGACTTACTCAAGAACAGACGCGGACCGATGGCGACGTCCCCGGAGCTGTGCGTCTCCAGGAAGGCGTTGAGGTGCTGCCAGACGCGCGGCAGCCAGCCCAAGATGGCGGCCAGCTCCGGCCGCGGCCCCTGCTCCAGCTCCAACGTCGCCAGACGCCGCCTGAGCACCCTGCCCAGCAGCCCCCTGGCGGGCTCCATGTGCGGCGCCACCAGCACCCACCTGAAACCGTGCTGCAGCTGCAGGCTGGTGGCCGAGCACGCCGACTGCGCCATGGTGCCCAACAGGCAAGGTAAATTGCGCGGCAGGGAGCCCAAAGCGTCCGCCAGAGGGCCCGCCTTGTGCAAGTTGTCCAGCACCACCACGCACGGTAGCACGCTGTTGTCGCCGGCTGCCGCCTGCTCGGACAGGTGGGCCAGGTATTGGCGCAGCTCCTTGGCCGACTTGTTGTCGACGCTAAAAATATAAAAAAATCGGACTGTTTTATGTATTTCAATTGTAACGGGTGCGACACTAAAACTGCGTTTTTTCATGATAATAAAGTGTCACGGTGCTGTTCTGAGAGGTGATTTTTGGACTTTCTGTGAAACCTAATTTTTTTTTATATTCTTGTTAATTAGGTCATAACTAAAATTTTAAGAGCAAAATAAAAAAAATTTGACGGTTTGAATTGAAGGGGTTAGAATAAAAAGGGTATAAGTAACATTTTCATTTTTTGGAGATATTTGAAGTTAAAGTTATGTTACCATAAAAAAGTGAAGAATTTTGTTTAGTAATGTTTTTCTACTGGATAATAGAGGTCCCTAGAAGTATGAAAATTACTTAAATCCTTTTCATTTCGATACGTCGGAACCTTATCTTTCACAAAACGAACTTATCTCCTAAATTAAAGAAATTGCACTTATACCCTTTCTATTCTAACCCCTTCAATTGTTTTAATTGGCTGTTTATTAAAAATATTATGCACTCTTTCAATTATCCAATTAAAACTAGCGATTTTATTTAAATATTTAATATTTGCATAACTAAAAAAAAGGTTTTTACAATTTTTTTATATATTTTACTGTTTTGTTGCAATAAACGTTCAAACTTTTAATTTAACCTTTGACGTATACATTTATGTTCCCTTAATTAATATATCCTTAAAGGTTGCCATGAAACTTAGATCTATTAAAAATTTATTTGACGTTTGAATTGTCATTTTCAGTATACGTATTCTATAATTTTTGTTTAGTTTTTTAAAGTGTTTTTTATAAACAAAAATGAACAATTGTAGTAAAAGTTACGAAGAAATTCATGAAATTTAACTAAGGACCGGTTTATTCATCTTTAGTAAAGTTTATCCGGCCGATAACTTTCATGTCTTGGCAATATCTAGTATCAAAAGAAATTATTCGTCAAATAAAACAAAAATGAATAAATTGGCCCAAAATAAAATGTGGCACCCTTAGAATTATTGTTTAATAAATGTATACTATACATTTAACCTTAAATTAAAACTTTAAACGTGTATTACAACAAAACAGTAAAAGATATAAAAAATGTTTAGACCTTTTTTAAGGAAATTAACTAATCTTTAATCTGATTTAAAAAGTTATGATAATATTTAAATAAAATCGCAAGTTTTAATTGGAGAATTTAAAGTGTGCATACATATTTTTAATTATTCGTCAAATAAAACAAAAATGAATAAATTGGCCCAAAATAAAATGTGGCACCCTTAGAATTATTGTTTAATAAATGTATACTATACATTTAACCTTAAATTAAAACTTTAAACGTGTATTACAACAAAACAGTAAAAGATATAAAAAATGTTTAGACCTTTTTTAAGGAAATTAACTAATCTTTAATCTGATTTAAAAAGTTATGATAATATTTAAATAAAATCGCAAGTTTTAATTGGAGAATTTAAAGTGTGCATACATATTTTTAATAAACAGCCAATTAAAACAATTCAAACCGTCAAATTTTTTTTATTTTGCTCTTAAAATTTTAGTTATGACCTAATTAACAAGAATATAAAAAAAAATTAAGTTTCACAGAAAGTCCAAAAATCACCTCTCAGAACAGCACCATGTGTTTGTTCTTAAGTAAAATCATAAGGGCATCTAATTTTTTCGAAAAAAATCGAAAAAACACGTTGCTAAGTAATATTTCAACAAGAAGCGTGAGAGCTAGTGGCAACAAAAATACGAGTCGAAGACGAGGATTTTTGCACCTGCACAAATGCATTTTGTTAAAAAATAGCATTGTTTTTTCGATTTTTTTCACAGGAAAAATTAGATGCCCGAATGGTATTTGACAAGACTATTTCATGAGTAACACTTATTCTGCATACACATAGCTTACAAAACATACTACTACTATAATAGATACATGCAAACATAATAAATATGTAGGTATTAATTTGAAAACTGAAAAATAAGTAATTTATTTAATCACAAAATACTACAAACTTAATTATTTATGGTACAATTAAAATATAAATTGCAATTTTAGTGACAACAGCTGTCATACAGTTTTTCCACCTAGAAACCATTTGTAATTCAAAATGCGCGTTTGTGATTGGTGGAAATTAAGACGAGGGAAATAGTCATATATATCAATATACGTTAATATAAAAAATAGTTTAAAAATTAGGTATTTAACTCAAACAAAATGTCAATAAAAACTTGTAAAGAAAACCTTTTATAAAGTCATAAATAGCGTAACGGGCGCGACCTTAGAAAATCGACAAAGCGACCAAGTTGCCTTCTAAAGTTGATACTGTAAAATTTTGGATGAAAGCATATAGTAATAGTTTTTGGTGTAAAACTTGAATAGTAACCTTAAACAAGGACGTATTTTAAATGCACAAAAATTGCATACTTTATATTCTAAAATTTTCTCAAAATGTAACGGGTGCGACATTTGAACATTTTATCGAATATTGAAACTCTTCCATATTCATTCTTAATGGTAACTTCTTAGCATCACAGTGTACGAATATTTTAAGGTTATAAATTATACGTCGCAATTAAACTATTTGACTTCAGATATAGTTGTTATTTTGTTAAATAACACATCTGATTTTTTGTCAAGGTGGGTAAGGTTTCATGGAAATACCCTTTATCGAAAATTTGCGAAAATAGTGGTTTTGCTGGAAAGAAGAAAATTTAGACAACATTTTTAAACATCTTAGAGAAGAAAAAAAGAGGAATTAAAAAAAAAACTCAAATGTGGACAGTATAGTGGGTTGAATATCCGCTTTTTTCGATTTTAATTTTGTAATAGCAAGAATACTAATCATTAAGCACGGTTCGTCAGTTTAAATCTACATAATATCTTTTAAATAATAAAACGGTAATTTCAAGCGTAAGGACGGGACAAATCACAAAACTGTTTTTTTTAATTGTAGCTAATTTATTATATAATATTTTTGCATCAAAATTGTCAAATATATTATTCTTTTATTAGACTATAGGTAGGTACATTAAATAAACAAAATCGCAAGAAATATTTTATAAAAGTAGAGAAAATTTTAATTATTAAAATTATCTCCACTTTTATAAAATTTTTCTTGTGTTTTTTTATTTAATGTATAACCTAATAAAAGAGGAATATTTTTTAACAATTTATAAAAATATGCGCTTAGCTATCAAAAATATTTTTTTCAAATTATACTTGGGTGTCATTTAACTTATATCTCAGTTAGTATACTTTTACGATTTTTGGACATTTTAGACCAAAAAATACCAACAACTAACAAGGAAGAAAAAGAGGAAGATGGGAAGAAAAAAGATTAAAGAAGAAAGAAAATTCACTCACAGGCAAAATAATCGATCTACACAAATTTTCGATGAATTTCAATCGCAAATAACTTTTTTATTTGATGTCGGATTTAAACAATTGTTTAAATCCGACATCAAATAAAAATATTAAAGAATATTATAGATACATTAATGGACAATCGCTCAAATTTTAAAAAATTACTAAAAAATAGACGTAAGTTTATAATATACAGGTTTAAACAAAAAGATGTTTTTTACCATAAGATTAAGACACTCTGTAGAGTGGCAAAACCGTATATTGTTCTAAATTAAGTTTTATTTATCAAGTCACATCTATTCTTAACAGTTCTGTTTTTGGATCACCTCGATATATTTATTTTTGTGGAAAATATGGATTTTTTAAAAAAACATTGCAATTTCCAATATTTTTCTGTATGAAGAACTAAGGTTGCTATGGTCCATCCATAGCCTATGGAGGATGACAGTGACAGTTGGGTTGAATCATCCCATACTTGGACATGTCATACACGGCTTTCAAAAGCTATTAAATTGTTTTTTGCAAATTAATGTTTAAATTTTGAGGTGTCTTCTCACTTTAAAAAATGGATATGTCCCCGACTGCTGTTGCCAGAGCCATTAATTTAATCCAGGATGGACGGTCACAGTATTACGTGGCAAGTGTTTTAAACGTCACAAGAAGTAAAGTACAAAGGGCAACATCAGTCGGAGACATTTTTAAAAGTAAGAAGACACCTCAAAATTAACACATTAATTTACAAAAAATAATTTGTTAGCTTTTGAAAACTGTATATGACATGTCCAAGTATGGGATGATTCAACAAAACTGTCACTGTCATCCTCCATAGGCTATGGATGGACCATAGCAACCTTAGTTCTTCATACAGAAAAAAATTGGAAATTGCAATGTTTTTTAAAAAAAATCCATATTTTCCACAAAAATAAATATATCAAGGTGAATCAAAAACAAAACTGTTAAAAATAGATGTGGCTTGATAATTAAAAATTAATTTAGAACGATATACGGTTTAGCCACTCTACAGAGTGTCTTAAACTTATGGTAAAAAACATCTTTTTGTTTAAACCTGTATATTATAAACGTACGTGTATTTTTTAGTAATTTTTAAAATGTGAGCGATTCTCCATAAATGTATCTACAATATTCTTTGATATTCGTTTAAATCCGACATCAAATAAAAAAGTAATTTGCGATTGAAATTCATCGAAAATTTGTGCGGATCGATTATTTTGCCTGCGAGTGTAATACAAATAAAAAACACTTACTTGAACGTAGCGACAGCCTCGGCCGGGTCTCTTCCCAGCGACTGGGCGTGAAACTCGGCCAGCCTGTTGGCCAAGTGGGTCTTCCCGGTGCCCGGGGCGCCGCACAGCACGAGGCGCCTGTGCTCGGCGAGCAGCGACACCAACCGCTGCGCCACGCCTTTCGGTATCAGGGCCTCGAAAGCCAGAGCCGCGACCGGCTGAAGGACCAGATGCAGCGTGGAAATTCTTCCGATGGCGTAGCCCACCGGCAGGAGATCCGGCGGCCCGGAATCGGGCTTCCGCTCGGCCTCGCCCAGTTTGTAGCTGGCTATGGCGTCGCTTCCTGAAAAAGTCGTTCAGAGTTGGTAAAAATGATGTTTATTTGTCAATATAAACAATGATTCATTTCCGCAAAGTTTTTATTTTTTTCGGTGCTCAAGCAAAATATTAATCTACCTATAGAAAAAAAATTTCACCAAGGTAGAGCTCTTAATATCAATTTTAAGTACTTGCAGTTTAAATTTAAAGTTTTCCCATTTAAAATGCATGTAAAAAAATGGTTTTTTTTTCAAATTTCTAATGCTCGCCCGCTTTTTACAATATTGTGAATCGGTTTTATGGACCTTAAAGGGAATTTCAGGCTCTTCAAAATTGTCTTTGTGTTTTTTTGTGTAACTCGTAGTGGTTCGCCAGTAGGAGTCATCAAAGTTCAATTTTTTTTAACAATTCGCAAAAAGTAGTAAAAGAGCTGAATGGTAAAAAATAGTCTTTTAACAAATATTTGATGAATTTACGGCCATTTTTATATCTTAAAACGTAAGTAATTGATAAATATTAACCAATTATGCTATTTAAATTAAACTTTCTTATTTACTATCGATATAATTCTCTACAACAATAACTTTTTCAGAGTTATTATGATTTCTGACTAAAAATAAATATAAACATAACACATCAATTCATAAAAAAAACAACAAAACTTTAATCAAAACAAATAACAGATTACATTATTAGATAATATATTGCAAATTTAATAAAAATCTCAATAGTCATAAATAAACAAGTTGATAAATATTAAATTATTTCGACTTTTATACAAAGCAAATTAAGATTTTATTTTATGACGTAACTAACGTGCCCTTAAGTTAAGGTGCCTGAGTGCCTGCAATTTATTTTTTACGGGCACGCTAGTGACGTAATAGATAAAAAACGTCATCACTGTCGTGCCGCTTAATTTAAAATTGGCGGCACAACAATAATATAATAATAAATTGTACCTGTATACATGTTAAGGGCCTATTTATTATTAAGTCAAAAATCATAATAAATCTGGAAAAGTTATTGTTGTAGATAATTATATCGATAGTAAATAAGAAAGTTTAATTTAAATAGCATAATTGGTTAATATTTATCAATTACTTACGTTTTAAGATATAAAAATGGCCGTAAATTCATCAAATATTTGTTAAAAGACTATTTTTTAAGATTGAGCTCTTTTTTTTCACTATTTTTTGCGAATTGTTAAAAAAAATTGCAAAAAAAAATGTTCATTCAAAAAATTGAACTTTGATGACTCCTACTGGCGAACCACTACGAGTTACACAAAAAACACAAAGACAATGTTAAAGAGCGTGAAATTCCCTATAAGGTCCATAAAACCGATTCACAATATTGTAAAGAGCGGGCGAGCATTAGAAATTTGAAAAAAAAAACATTTTTTTTACATGCATTTTAAATGGGAAAACTTTAAATTTAAACTGCAAGTACTTAAAATTGATATTAAGAGCTCTACCTTGGTGAAAACTTTTTTTTTATAGGTAGATTAATATTTTGCTTGAGCGCCGAGAAAAAAAAGTTTTTTGCGGAAATGAATCACCCTAATAAACATTGGAAAAAAACTATTTTTTGTTTTCACCGAAACTCCAAAATATTGTTCAAAACATCGAAAAAAAAAATCCCTCAAAATTTGAGCCCTTAATTTTAATTTAATTATTGGACACATAAGGAATATTATTTATTTAAAATTTATGTACGCCGTTGTTTTAAAGATTTTAGTTTTTTCTTATAAATACATATATAAAAAGGAGAGTTTGTTTGTTTAAACTTTATTTACGTTTACTTAAAAATAAGAATATTTGAATTTTTAATAATAGTTTTATAAAAACATGCAAAAAAGTATAGTAATTGGACATTTTATGTAGTAATTGGACACATGGACCATAGTTATTGGACATACAATTTTTTTATAAACATAACAACTTTACATCAAATAAAATAAATTGTTAAATATTTTTTAAAGATAAATTGCTGTTTTAGGTAATTTTATTATTTCGTTTTTGTAAATATCACAAAATTCATATATTTCTTTCTCACATTCCTCATTCCTTTTCTGGATTCTGAAGGTAACTACTAATTTCCTGGTCTGACTTCTGAAATAGTTTGTTGCAAATATCATTAAGTGTGGTATCTCTAGTTTGTGAAGCATTTATAATGTTTAGGCCGGAACAGGATGATTTATATATATCTAATATTTTTTCGGATGGTATGTTAAAAGTATTTTTCGAATATATTAATTTTGTTGCCATTAGTTTTTTATGTTCTCTATCATGCATTGTATTTAAATCACTGTTATTCTGCAAGATGTCCTGCGACGAAGAAATCACTATATTACTTACTCTCTAAAAATGAATTAGTCAAAAATGTCATAGCGAAAAAGCAATTTGTATCCAGGACATTTAGCAGTCAATTCCTATGAAATATTATTCGCTGAATCCGAAAATGTCGTCTATATAAAAGTAATGCTGGAAACCCATTTGGCCTACGCCACGCCACCCTACGCTACGCTACGCTACGCGACGTTTTGTTATGCAGAAATTTAACACAGGTTTCAATGGAATACGTACTCACTTGTCCCATGCCACCCTACACCACGCCACCTGACGTCGAACGACGTTTCAAAAATCAAATTGTTTTGAATTTTGAAGAGACGTGTGGACGCGTGTTGTCCACCTCCATGCAGCTACACACGGAGTGCGCATGTTCTGTAAACAGTTTTCAAACATGGATGAACAAATTATTGAAAAAGTGCGTTCATATGAGTTTCTGTACAATCAACATTAAAGAAATTTTGTTTTTTATTTATAATAATAGCAACAGCACACTCCTCTAGTTTACATTCATCAGATGAAGAACTACTTGCACACTCCATTTTCTTTACCAAAATAAACAATACTAATAAGTATATAAATTTTATTAATATTTCATAATTTCATAAAGCAATTTTATTTTATATGTTTGTCAAAAGACGTGGCGTAGCGTATTACTAGTGTGTACGGTGACTCGGAAACGTGAACCCACGTCAGTCGACATCGAGTAGCATGGCGTAGCGTGGCGTGGGCCAAGTGGGTTCTTAGCTTAAGACAGTTTTTAAAATATAATCAATTTTACATATAATTGACTATATCTCAAAAACTGCTTAACTTTTATAGTTTTTGACGGTCTTTTCGGATTCAGGGGCCAATTTTACAAAAGAATTGGCTGGTAAATGTCTGGGATACAAATAGAGTATTATATTGGACATATGTCCAATAATAGAAAAATACATTTTTTACCCACCAGTAAATGGACACTGGCCATTTTACTGTTTGTTTTCAGAATTAAAATTAAAACGCATTAAAGTGACAATGTTTAAACCATGAGGAACAAATTTATACCACACACTGATCTGTACACTTTTTAGAAATATTTTGTATTGTAATTTAAACACAGCCCTGCTCTTAACAAAAAAACAAACATCTTACCACCAAAGTAACGTGCGAACTTTTTTGTCCTATATTGGACCCGAAATAAAGTAGTTATACAATGTATAATATACCTACATATATTATTACCGACTGAGATATTTATAATTATATACAGCGTCATCTAATGATTTGACTTTAATGTAACTATTTATAAAACTCTTGTTTTTACAGTATTAATGTTAATTGTCCAATAACTATAAAGTGCCTCATAACTGTCTACTTTACCCTATTTTTGAATCAAAATTAAGGGTTCAAACTTTTTTTTCGATGTTATGAACAATATTTTGGAGTTTCGGTGAAAAACAAAAAAATAATCGTTTTAAATGAAACACCCTAATAAACATAAACATACCCAATCCTAAACCACCGCCAGGATCCAACCTGGCGACATATTGTTTGAAGGCTCTTCTGACCGCATTGTCTAGCTGAGCCCATGAGGTGGATGCTCCAATGTTCGTGTGCGCTATTGATATTTCTGTTGTCGCGTTGTCACTCATGCCATCGTAAGAGTAATGTTCCACATAATATCTGCAAAAATATAAAAAAAAAATTCTAAATTCTAGACTAAAAATAATTTATAATAACCTTTATCCTAACAAAAAGTACGCCACTGATCGAATAGGAACTTTAGGCTAATCTGGTTGCCTAATTTAATTTACTATGTTATGGTTGGTAACAACCAGCGTTTCCAGATTCTGTCAAAAATACTAGCCAGATTTTGTTTAAATTTGGCTTAATTACAAAAATGACAAAATCAATAATGCAAATTGTTAATTTGGCGTTTTTATTAATTGTTGATTATGTCATTTTTGTAATAAAGGTAAATTCAAACAAAATCTGGCAACTTTTATGACAGAATCTACTGCATTTCTTTCAAATTTTAGGTTATGTGCTCAAATTGTAAATATCTTAACTAAGAGAAGTGCTTTTGGATTTGTTTACACAAATTGAATGTTTAAAGTTTAACCTGCGAACTTGTCCAAATTTTATCTGAGTAAACAGAAAGAAAAAAATTGATGAAAAAATTAATTTTGTGGTTATGGAGTTTTTAAAATAGGTACTAAATTTTCCAATCATTGCTTAAGCTAATAGCTGGATGAGTATTGAAGCTTTAAGGGCATAAAACTTTTGTATTTATTGAGTTTTTATTTATTTTTTTGCAAGAAAAATTTTTAGTAACAATTTTTTACAACTGGCAAAGCGCAGCTACTTTGTTCGTTGGTATCTATGTACTCACAGAACACAAGTGTGTAACCAGTGGCGTATCACAAAAAATATAAAAAACTAATGCATATTTTTTTATCTTTGGGAAAATATTTTTTTAAATATTTTTCCGTTACACCTTATGTCAAAAGGTATTCAGTATTTTAATATATTACATTAATTACATATGTATATTAGGGTGTCCCTTATTTTCATTTTTTTACGCATACCCTCTAATTATATTTATTACTTGTTTATATACTTCCAGTAAAAATTTCAGCTCATTCTATAAACGGGAACCCGTGCCGACTTGCATCTGAACTCTCCGTTAGCCAACGTTAGGCGCGCGGTATTTTGTAACACGAAACACTTTAAAAAGAAGATATACTTCATGACTGTATTTTTCTAATGATTTTATTAAATATGATTACTAATTAATATTATTGCTTTTGTTTCTATCATTTATTTCCCTAATTTAGTTGATTTTATCCCTTAAATATATTAATATAATTAGTATTGCTAAAATATACTGTTATATGAAATTTCAGCTTTTTATAAGCATTTCTTTTTTTGATGTCCTCCCAAAAATATTTCAGACAGTTCAGTAAGTTTTCGGTAGTCATCTCTCACAATAGACTCTTTTAGTTATTTAGAGTAAAACCCATTAAGTTTATCAATTTCAGAGTTTACGGCCTATTCACCAGACCCTTCCGGGTATCTAGCCACTCCCTGTGAAAATATACATTTTTATCAAAGTATACACATAAATAAAACTATATTTTAACGTTTGTCAATAATTTATAATATAAGGGTCACATAATAACAAACACAAAAGACCTCGCGACCAACCGTGTTACAAAATACCGCGCGCCTAACGTTGGCTAACGGAGGGTTTAGATGCAAGTCGGCACGGGTTCCCGTTTATAGAATGAGCTGAAATTTTTACTGGGAGTATATAAACAAGTAATAAATATATCTAGAGGGTATGCGTCAAAAAAATACTGTTGATATTATAACTTACTTTTCGAAACTCTGCGGCTGCCCCAGATAAACGGAAATGGCGATCCTCTTTCCGTCTTGCTCCGCCTCGGGCGCGGGCTCTTCGACCGGTATCAAATCGCACAGCGCGTCGATGCTGCTGCTGCTCCTGGTCTCCTGCGAAATATCCGTCGGCAGGTTGGTGGCCGCGCCGCTCACCATGCGTTGCAGCCTCTCGTTGTTCTGCTTCAAGCTGAGCATCTCGCTGCGCATCTTCATCACCGTGTCCTTCAAACTCTCGAGCTGGTGCGCCGAGCTCAAAGCTTCGAGTCTGATGTCGGTGAGCACGAGGTCCTTCTCGCGCAGCTGTTTTTGCAGCTCGACCACCTCGAGCCCCGCGTCGGTGGGAGGCGGCGGCGGCGGCGGCTGGCGGTCCGCTTCCGGTTCCTGCTGGGAGTGCGCTTTCGCGACCTTGGCGTTGCGCGAGAACGCTTTGGTGAAGGAGCTCCTCAGCCAGCCTTTCTTCTTGTTTTTCTTGTCCTGCTTGTCCAGACTGCAAGCCGACGAGAGACTGGACACGCTGTCAGACGAGGGCTGTCTTGCTAACCCGGTACCAATTCCGGCCTGTATGGATTGCGCCCTCAGAGAGTCCATGGCTGTGCGAAGCTCTTGAAGTTCGCTTTCCTGATAAATACAATGTTATTCAGTAAGATCACCTCAAGTTATGGAATTCAAATTAATATATTTTAATGTAAAGCAGTCACCATCAATAAGGCATTAAATCACAAACTAAAAGAAACGTGTAATTTTTAAAGTAAATCTGAACTGGCTAAATGACCATTGTTCCCCTAACTATTGGAAATACGAAGAAAAACTGTAAAAGGTCTTATGATCTGAGTTTTTTGTGCTATTCGCCACCGATTTGTCTAAAGCAAATTCCCAGACTTTTCCAGGAATTCCCTGACCTTCAATGATTTTTTCAACTGGACTTCAACTGGTGTTGGTTTTTAAAATTTTTAGTATGGGGCCATTCAAGTATTACGTAAGCAGTATTTTTGTAATTTTTATTTTTAAAAATCAAAGCAATCAAGCACCCTTTGGTGTAAGAAGATTATATTCGAATATCAGGAGCTTCAACTCCATATAAATTCGAGGAGTGGGGGGTCCACAAACATGTCGCACGTGTACAATGACCGAGAACGCAAAATTGAGTTCTACGCATGATACATGATACATGATGTAACATGTTTTCTTTGTATCATGAGTTCTACGCATCTTTTGCAGAGATAAAGAAGGTACCTTTTTAACCTCTATTATTTTCTGCATCTGTCAAGCGTCAAACCAATGTTTACCTTTACCAATTTCGTAAATAAGATTATAATGTAATTAACATGAATAATTTATATTATAATAAAATATTAGTAGTAAACAGAACAGTTTGTTAACCCTTTCAATACGACTTTTCGGAAATTAATTTAAAACTTTTTTATTAGTGTTAAAACTATATTTAGGTTAAAAATAGTTAATTGACTGAATAACAGATTTTTAACTTTGGTGGTATTTGAAAAAAAGGCCTGGGACAGATTTATCCCTGCAGTAATATGCCCTGGGATATATTTATCCCCACACTAAAGAAATTCTACTATTTTTGAAAATGTTTATTATCAAAAAACACTGATGGGATAAAACTATCCCCTGTCATATTACTGCAGGGATATTTTTGTCCCAACGTATATTTTGAGGAATGAGTTGTGACGTACAATGCACATAAAGTATCACAAAAATTCAAGCAAAATTTACACAAAAACTGCACAAAATAGGTTATGTGACTGGTCTTTTTCAATTTAGAGCTTGCAATGGCCGAAAAACAGCTGGTTATTGTTCACGTGACGTTAAATAAATTAAGTTTTTATTACTGATATCCCAAGTCAAGACATAGAAATACTAAATTGTCCCGACCCTGTTTTATTTAAACTCACTTAATTAAGTAGAGACATTTTTTAATTTTCTTTGGGACGTATATATATCCCCGCAGTATTGAAAGGGTTAAAACAGTGAGTAAATTTATGAACTAATCAGTATTACTATCGTTGTAGCAGAAAACGTAAACTGCAGTTTACACTTAAACATGCATGTAATGATGTTAATTTGGTAATGTAATGTAACGTATAAAATGACTGAATTTTGCAATGTAAAATCAGACAATTTCCAGTTTTGTGGTGTAATTATTACACTGTTATAAACTTACTGATGGTATTTCAAATAACTGATGTGTAGGTTTTTTATCCCTTGACAAATTAAACAATTTTTAACACAGCACAAACATCCCATATATAGTGATTTTCTCAAATAAAAATTTTAAAATTAAAATAAAGCTTGTCAATCAACCTTCTTTATTTCTGTTGTAAATCTTCCAACCAATGAGTGCACGTGCAGTCTGTCACGTGAGTTGACGGTCTATGCGCGGTTGATTAATAATTATTTGTGCGCATTGTACACCATACGACGCGTTTTCTATCCATTCTCATGCGGAGTTGAAGCTCCTGAATATAATCTTCTTACTTTGGTGCTTATGTAATACTTGAATTTATTTTTCTCGATTAATTAAAAAACTAAACCTTTATTGAAGTTTATAAAATTCAAAAACATTAACAAAAAATCAATACTTCTTATTGAAAAAATAAAAACTTCTTATTAAAAAAAAAATAATTCTGTAGCTAATTTTTTCAGGATAATTTTTAATTAGGTTTTTGTTTCTCGGGTTTTTATTACATTAATTTTCTGTTCAATCTGAAAATAACAGAAATAATGAAATTTTTAAAAATGCCTCTGAAATTTTGTCTGCGGCAGGTCTTGATGATCAAGTTAATGAGTTCTTATCAGTAAATATTTGATGGTACAAAAAAAAGATTTTATTTTTATAATTTTTTGCAGGAGTTGTTATGGAAGAAATTTATTTACTCTGGTTATTTTATAAGGCAATATTATTATTAATATTAACCTGTAAATGCCATTATTTTGAATAAATTAAAATTAAATTTCACTCGTTAACATATTTTTTTTTTTGAATGAAAATTTTGTTGACCAATTTTATTTATAAATAACCAATTCCCTGATCGATTTAGGAATTCCCTGACATTTCCCTGACATTTCTAAAAAAAATTCCCTGACTTTTCCAGGTTTTCCAGATGAGTGGCAACCCTGTTTTATATATTTTGCAAAAATTTTATGAAATAAATAATTTTATACCTTATATTTAATTTGTTCGAATTTTATTTTAGATAGTTGGTATCACAGTAATTGGTTTGACAGTTAATGTCAAAATCGATTCGCCATGGCGTCCTTAATTTACTTATTTACAATAAGCGGCTGTTCATGTTAAAGAAGAAAAAAAGGATATTCTTTGGTGTTTATTGCCAGAAAAGTCTCGTAACTACTAGAAAAATCATAAAAATATTATAACTAATATGCAAAATATTATGCTGTTTAAAGTATAGCCAACCTACAAAATCAAAATTTTGGGGGGAATAAAGCACAGCACCGAAAGCGGTGTTGTAATGAAGTCATTATGAACGCAAAATAGATAAAATTTATTTATCGTGGTATTGGTGGATTGCGTCAGTCCCGAAAAAATTCATAATTATCACGTTATAGGTAAGTGTGTTTTCTTGTTACTTTGACACTGTAACACCCGAAACGAAAAATCAGGTAAGGTAAAGTAGACAGTTATCGGACCTACCAAAATACCGAATAGTACGATTTTCGTCAATAATTATGTTTTTTACCGATTTTTGGCAATAATAACAATTTTACCCGTTTTGCCTATTTAAGTTATATTAAAGGAGAATTTGTTACTTACTTATTTTGTACTACTTAGAGACTTATTAAACACCGATTTTGTCCAAATAAAGTGTTTAATTTTTGCACTTGTAACACCCGAAACAGAACCATGGTAACACCCGAAACAAATTTTATTAAAAAAAATAGTAAAACGTTATTTGTGGTAAATGGTTAGTAAATATTATACTTTTGGAGGCCTGTAATTTTTAGTAATGTTTCCCTAAGAAAATTCGCTGAATTTCAAATAAATGTAACAATGTTCAGGACATAGAGGCAGAATCGTGAAACACCCGAAACGCTCACTTTTCGACGATATCCTATGCTAGACTGTACTAATTTTACAATTTAGATAGAACTAAAAACGCAGAGAATAAGGCACTTTAATTGCTAAAATAATACTTCAAAATACATAAAAATTTACAACACCCGAAACGATGGAATTTCATTTTAACATTTTTTACAATGAAATTTTTGGAGACTTAATTAAAAAATAGTTGACAGATATTTTAATGAAATTAACAGGATTTATTGTTTAATATCCACATTTTGAAAAAAATTCAAAATTTTAAATTATTTATTTACTATCATATTTTTAATTATCTTTTAAATAAACAAATGCAAATTTTAATGACTTCTCCCTCAAATTATGAATCGAATATTAAACAATAAATCCTGAATTTCATAAATATCTCTAACGGTTTTTCTGTCAACTCTTATTTAATTAAAAGTCTACAAATTTTCATTGTAAAAAATGTTGTTAAAATGAAAAATTTTAAAAACTGTTTCAGAGTTTCATTATTTATAGTGAAAGTGACTACTTTATATTAAAATATATTAATTTGAATTCCACAATCAAGTGGGAAATGGGGGGTCCACTTGAGGTGATGTTACTCATTGTAATAAACAAAATTAAAGCACAAAGAAATTTGATACCGACCTTCTTTTCAGATGTTGCCGTTAGATGTTGTAATCTTTGGGTCATCGATGTTAAACTTTGCTCAAAAGCTGACACCACATGCGCCTGAAACAAAAAAATATAACGTAAATATCTCATCTTGTTTCAACATCAAAATTCATCACGCATAAACAAAGAATTTAAAACTTAATTTCCCGCATATAAACATATGTACTTTTTTACTTTATAATTATTTATTCATTTATCATGTTTTTGAAATTAAAGTATATTATAAAATTTAATGTAATTGCTGTTTTGGTGGTCCATGACTATTCATCATCATTCGAGACAATGTTTGTTTTAAGTATATCATATACCTATTACATATTACACAATTGTTAATATGTAACATTATTAAATCAGTTTTCTCCTCGACATGACTGTGTTTTGTAAGTATTAACACCCACGTGCTACTGCAAACAAGAGGTATGTATAATTTCAAAGCAAACTTTAGGAAAAATGGGCCCAAAAAGTAATCCTTTTTATGGTTTAAAATGAATTTGTGATGTTTGAAGTTTATTATTTTTTCTAAATAACATAATTATTTTCTAGCTCTTGGAAGCATCTAAATAACAAAACAAAATTTGACATTTCATTAAATTAACTTTGAGTCACGCCATTTGTGCCAACCTAGTAAAATGCTTTTTTAGATTTATTAAGCTCGTTTAACAAAATACTAAAGTTAATTTTTTTTTATCTGGACTGCGGCAACGTTGCAAATTTAGGGTTTTGGTTGGTAAATACAGTTGTCAAGTTGGTCGCATTGATTAAAACAAACTAAGCTAGTTATAAATCTAATTGTGGTTATGTATAAATTATTGTAGGTTACATTGTGCAGTTGTCAAGTTGAGTTGTCGAAATTCGTAGTTAAAAATGCAATTAATTTGGCTTTGGTGGTGCGAAGATGAGTAAAATCATATAAAAAAGTAGTTAAATATAGGTTGCTTTACGGCCCAGAAGAGATAAAGTATTCCTAGCGAATAATAATCTTCGCTTTTAAAAGAATTTATATAAAAGAAATTAACATTTTTTGTGAACGTAAATGTTGTCCAATGGTGAATAATGTGAAAATAATGTGTGATATAATATTTATAAAACCAAATTCGTTACTTTTTTACTCCAAAAAATGTCCATAAGGCGATGTACTTTTTCTTCCATTGTGGCATTTGGCATAATTTCATCAAAATGAAGTTTTGCCCTCAAAAGGGCTTTTATATTCGAATTCGTTGCTATTATTTTTGGCATAATTATCTTTTTATTTATAATTGACAAGTAAATTATCAATAATAAATATTATTGTCAATTTGACAGTGTCAAAGTATTTAATTAAATTATTTAGCGGAAGTACCATTTTTAAATACTAAAAATACTAAGCCAAACTGGCATAAGCCACCAACCTAACAAAAAAACACCAGATAAAAAAAAATGAACTGTATTAATAAAATTTGAATAAAAAAATTAAAATGTAATAAATGCTTGCGCATTGTTATATTTAAAATTCCAAATGCTCTTTTTACGAGGTTGAGAAATTTCCAAAAAATTACAGAATCTAGGGTATTTCTGCGACGTTGCCATATGTCAAAAAAACAATCTGGGAATTTCTTTTTGCTTTTTGGCGATGTTGCCAATTTCCAAAAATTCCCTGAATCTGGGAATTTTCTAAAATCTTCTGAATATCTTCAGCAAATCATCTATACATACAACTTTTTTTCAAAATAATATCAAAATTTATTCACTTATGAATAAATTTTTATTTAAAGTTACAATCGATTTTTCTCCAAAATTTTCAATGGAATTTTTAAATAAAAAAATAGATATGCACGTGATACTAAAAACCTACAAAAAGAGAACCTATATAGGTGTGTATATAATACTCTCTTTGTGGTTATAATAAAATAATGTGGTTTATTTTTAGATTAATAAACCGGATTTTAAGAAATAAAATTGATGATGTTTAAACGTTTAAATTCAATATTAAATGTTAGAATATTCAAATTTGCAATAAATACATTACGTAAAAATGTCAGTATTTATATTTTGTTATACATACAGGGTGAGTCATTTAATTTGAAACTTTGAAATATCTCAGTTAGTATGCATTTTACGAAAAAATGTATGAAATAAAAATTAAATGATTCGTGGGGGGAAATCAATCAGTACTAAAATTGGTCCTCATACTCTCCTCCTTATAGGGGGAACAAGGGGTAACTTTAAAATTACCCGCTGTTCCCCCTATAAGGAGGAGAGTATGAGGACCAATTTTAGTAATGATTGATTTCCCCCTTGAATCATTTAATTTTTATTTTAAACGTTGGTTTATAAACCAGGGTCGATAATTTTTGAAACCAAAAAAAATAACAGTAGGATGAAACCCATTGGAAAAGGAGAAGAATATAATAAAAATGAAAGGAAAAATAAATTACGGGCGATCTGACTTCGGGAAGTGGGAGGGGGGGTTTTAATGGTAAAAAATGGTTTATCTCGATTTCCGGCAAAACTACAAGTCCTATGGAAAAAAGTTAAATGGCAAAGTTGTAGGTAATAAAAGGATCTACAACTTTTGTAATTACAATTTTTTTACATAACCTCAAAATTTATGTGAAAAATTCAAAAAACCAAGTTTTTGGTTTTTTATTTTTATCTTTTTCAAAAAAAAATTTTTTTCTACGAAATTTGGTGAAAACTTACCTTTTTATGTCCCAAATACAATGTAATTTATTTGATTTGAAATATTTATTATTTCGCCTTATTTTGACTTAATATCAAAAAAGCACCCTAATTTTGAATCGAAAATTCTCGCGTCAAAATATTAGCTTTTTTCAAAAAGTGTTCATTATAATATTTTTTGTATTTTCTGAGAACATTTACCATAGTAATTTATATTTTTTTACACCATCAGAAAGTAGAGAGTTCATCGAACAAAAAGCACACCGACTTTTTGAAAAAAGCTGATATTTTGACGCGAGAATTTTCGATTGAAAATTAGGGTGCTTTTTTGATATTAAGTCAAAATAAGGCGAAATAATAAATATTTCAAATCAAATAAATTACAGTGTATTTGGGACATAAAAAGGTAAGTTTTCACCAAATTTTTTTTTTGAAAAAGATAAAAATAAAAAACCAAAAACTTGGTTTTTTGAATTTTTCACATAAATTTTGAGGTTATGTGAAAAAATTGTAAATACAAAAGTTGTAGATCTTTTTATTACCTACAACTTTGACATTTAACTTTTTTCTATAGGACTTGTAGTTTTGCCGGAAATCGAGATAAACCATTTTTTACCCTTAAACCCCCCCCCCTCCCACTTCCCGAACTCAGATCGCCCGTAATTTATTTTTCCTTTAATTTTTATTATATTCCCCTCCTTTTCCAATGGGTTTCATCCTACTGTTATTTTTTTTCTCTTTTTACCATTTTTAAAGGCTTCTGCACTGGTCTATTATGATTGGCATAAAATATGTCAGTTTTTGGTCAAACTTGATGAAAATACTATTTCTCTGGGTAACGATTTACAGAACAATAATATTGTTGTATATTAATGATATAATATTACACTATACATCGATTGTTTTTCGAAAGAATGGTGTATTATTTCAACACCTCCCAGCAGCTTAGATTCGAGATAAAATCTTTGCCACTCAATGGAGGCCTTAATATATAACATTACATAAGTCAATGGCATGTCCGCCCCACATATATACAATACAACAGATACAACGATCTCTTTTTTTATTAATCATTTTATATTTAAATTAGGCTCGATTGTTAAACGGGCATTTAAATAACGTTGTTCTGGTTCATGGCTAAAGAATTGTGATATGAATTAAAGAAATATATAAATTAGACGTATTAATATTAAATCAAAGATATATTTTATGCATTAGGTATTATAAAATAAGACATAAACAAAAACAGAGGCTCTTGACCCAAGATAACAATTTAAATTTAACCCAATTAAGCACTTGAAGCTACTTACGCATCTTAAGTGAGACACATTGTGCTTCTTTTGAGTTTAGTAATATTATTGGAATAAGCAAAATTTTACCAATTCATTTATTATCTTTGATTATAAGTATTTGGTTGAAGGTTAAAAAATAAAACAAGTTTTTAGTAAAATAAATGTGATTTTATGTAACATAATATTATTATGTTAAACAATACATACAAATATACAGAGTGAGTCATTTAACTTGAAACTTTGAAATATTTCAGTTAGTATGCATTTTACGAAAAAATGTTTAAAATAAAAATTAAATGATTCGAGGGGGGAAATCAATCAGTACTAAAATTTGTCCTCATACTCTCCTCCTTACAGGGGGTAACTTTAAAATTTCGACCTATTTTTTATTGTTGATTCGGATCATTCAACTAAAAATAAGTAGATTTTGTCTAAAACATTTTTTCATATTTCTAATAGATGACGCTGTAATGAAAAAAAAATCAATTTTCTTCGATTTTTCTTTTGTATACGATTCTGCAATAATTTTTCTATAAAAATATCACTTTTTTTGGTAATAATTATCTTATTAAATCTAATTTTTTTTAAGTACCCACGTTTTTTTAACTAATAATTAAGTTTTCTTTAGTTTAAGTTTTATACATTATTTCATTGTACTATTTTTAATAAAAATACCTCATTTAAGGTAAACAAAAAACATTATTTTGTCAATTAATTAATTTAATCCTAATTGAGGTATAAAAAATGGTATTTAGTTATAAATAATAATTATTATTGAGGTATAAAGAAACTATTTATAGTTTAGCATTATTTAATCAATTTAGTTCATAATAGATTTTTTAACAGTGGAAGAAACAATAGAAATGATTTTGATTTATGGAGAAGCAGGCAGGAATCTTGACGATGCTGTTAATATCTACGCTCAGCGTTTTCCGGATAAAATTCGATCGCGTACTTCATTTCACCGCACAGTCAAGCAGTTTACTACAAACGGGAGTGTTCAACCGAAAAAAAGAGTTCGTCGAGCAACAGTCACAGGTGGAAATAATGAAATTAATGTAGGTATTAGCAGCAACGGCCGCTAATCCTCGTGCAAGCACAAAAATT